GCTCGGCGTCGTCGCACGCCGAGGACACCGAGATGGACACGGACGCGATGGACATCCTGACCCGCTGCGCCGCCGCGGTCGCTCGACGCGCACCTCACAGCGACCGGCGGCGCATTCCGGAGGGGCTCTGTCGAACTTGTCCTCTGGGCCCCTGTGGCCTCTGTGGCTCGCCCTGTGGCCCTGCACCCGTGCCCTCGCCCCGTGCCCTCGCCCTGTGCCCCCAGACTGTTGAATGAGACGCTTCGCCCTGCCTGGGCTGCCTAGGCTGGCTTAGGCCGGGGTGCCCTGCTGCACACATCCACTCGCCCCCTCCCCTTCCCCGCCACTGCCGCCACCGGGACACATGAGGGGGAGGGACGCCCCCCAGTGAGCGAGCAACGTGGAAAGCTCGGCGGAGTGACAAGACAAGGAAACCGAGGCACGAAATCCGGAGCCAAAGTGAATGCTGCAGTACTTTCATTTCCACCGCAGTTTTCCCTGCCCCTAGATGAGCGTGTGTGTGTCTTTACGATTGCATGTGTGACTGCGTGTCCAAAGCTGCAGAGCTGCGTGCGTGGACAATTAGGTTCCGGCGGTGACAGGCAGCTCATATGAGATCCGCCACTCAAGCACAGCCCGCCCCCCTTCCCCCCTTTCCCGGGCTGCTCGGCCACTTCCGAAACGCTTTTTGGACGACTTTCCCCCGAGCACACGCTCACACACACACACGCACACTCACTGCACACATACACAGACACGCACGCTCGTCGGCACGGATAGCCTCATTGCCCGCACCGTTCTCTTGTCGTCTCCGTGAGGTTGCGGTTTCCGTGATTGACGCCAAGGAGGTGCTTCCGGTGGCGGTGGAGCAGGGCAAGCAGGCCGAAGGGGTGGAGGGCGGCGGCGCTCGGCGCGTCCACGCGGCGAGGCCGGGTTAGGCTGGATTCGGATAGCTAGCGCGGGCACCCACGGATTACGTAAGCAGGCGAAAAGTCGCACGGCGTCGAAAGGGTTGCCCGCCTCAGCCCGCCTGCTAGGCAACACCGGGTCTTTTCTTTCACCTTGTAGACAACCCTTTCGCGAGAATTTTCGCCAACTTAGATGGCATTACTGGACTGCCAGTACTTTTGAGGGAAGTCCCAAGAAAAGGTGAGTCCCCAGAAAGGGTAAGTGGCGCTTCGAATGTCGCAGTTACGTCAACCTCGGCGACGGAGTAACCCGAGCGCCGGTGCCGGCGTCACGAGGGCAAAAAGTGTTCATGGACGTGCTGGCCCCGGCTATGGTAAGTGCGCTTGCTTCGCCGCGTTGCACAGTGGGCCAGCAGACCGGTGGAGGCGGCCAAAACTCCAGAAGCGTTTTGAGCTCCAGAGTCGCTAAATGGGACTCGAACCGAACGTGTGACCCCACCATTGGATTGCTCTCCGAACGAGGAAGCCATTGGTGGGGTCACACGTTAGGTTCAAGTACTGCTTAGCGACTCTGGAGCTCAAAACGCGTCTTGAGTTTTGGCCGCCTCCGCCGGTCTTCTGACCCACTGTGCATCTGCCCCGGCTCGGTCGACGGACGACGGGACGGTCTAGTCGGGATGACGCGACGCGCTTCTTGCTGTTGCTATTGTTAGCGGGCCGCGTTCGAAACGGCCTGGGCGGCCTAGGCGCGGCCACGCGCCACAAGCTCTTTATGGGTTTCATTCATCGAATGAGCGTGCAACGGCCACATCATGCCGAGGGAACCCCCTCCCCCCTCTGCCCTGCCGGCCATGCCGTCGCGCCGAGCGTGACTCCGAGCTGCCAACTGCTGAATAATAATTACATTGTGCGCCCTCGCGACTTGGCGACGCGACTCGCGAGGTTGTCGCCACTGCCGAGCAGCTGCCGAGCCTCGGCTGCACTGTCACAGGGCTGCTACACTGCTGCACCACTACACTATTACGCTGCACGCCCCCACACTGGTACACTGGTATTGGAACGTGAGGCAGCCGAGCGATTCCGAAGGAAGGATCGCCTCGTCGCTCTGTCTTTGTCACACTCGTGGCGACGGTCTGCGGGAGTGCGAGAGAGACAGAGCGACGAAACAGCCCTTCGGACTCTTCGGACTCGTTCGGCAGGACTCATCGTCAAAATTCCCAGCAGTGTGCAGCAGTGGCACTAGGGATAATGGTGCGGACTCCCCTGTGTCCTTAGTTGACGCCACTGTCTGTCTGTCTGTCTGTCTGTCTGTCTGCCTGTCCGTCCGTCCGTCCCCGGCGTCCTTGGCACGACAGGTGACGCGACGCCCTTGGGGGCTGCGCGGGCTGCGCGCTGCGACCCTTTCCTGCCACGCCCCGCTGCACCCGCCGTCACAGGACCAGAACGGGGACGACGGGGCTCCCCCCCCCCCGCCCCTTTCCACTTTTACAGGGTGGCAACCCCCTCTGGTGGCAACCCCCCTGGTGGCAACCCCTTCTGGTGGCAACCCTCTGGTGGCAACCCTCTGGTGGCAACCCTCTGGTGGCAACCCCCTCTGGTGGCAACCCCCTCTGCCTCACTGGCCCTTATTGATTCCAACTTCGTGGGCCACGTTTCACTCGAACGACTCGAACGTCCAAAAGTTACGACTCCTATTAAAAGATTGGGATCTGGAGCGGCTGGAGACGGCGACCGAGATCGAGATATCGAGATATCGAGATGGTCGGCGCGCGTCGCCGCACCGTTTCCGGTACTGCATGTGCATTCCCTAGGTCCCTGGCGGCCCCGGGTTCGATTCCCCGCGCATGCAGACTGACTCCGAGAGTCGTTTTCGTCGCTCTGTCTCTCTCGCACTTGTACTGATCACCCCATGAGTGCGAGAGAGACAGAGCGACGAAAGCGACTCTCGGAGTGAGCGGGTAGGCCGAGCGACGCCTGCCTCGGCGCGATCCCCTTCGGTCCCTTTCTTGCCCCAGGTCGGTTCACGTGGTTCACGTGGTTCACGGCGGGCATAAAAAGCCGGGTCAGGGATGAAAGTGACAGGCCCTGATGGTGTGACAGAGACAGCTCGCGTGCCGTGTGGTGCCGTGGCATGCCGCTGTGTTGCTGTCTTTGTCGCGTCAATCCGATGATGACGCCGACGTTCTTGGCTGAGCATCGCTGGCATTGCCTTTCCGCGCTCCGCGCACGTCCGTCCGTCCGTCCGTCCGTCCGTCCGTCCACCGCACGCGGCGCCGTTCCCACACGCTGCGTCTCTCTCGCACTCGCGGGGCGGCCCGCCGGGGTGCGAGAGAGACAGCGACGAGGCTGCATGGAGTTCCGAGAGCGCACGGAGCAGTTGCTGTACTGTTTTACAGTGTCTTCCGTGTGTGGGGGCATCCGCGCGGGCATTCGCTCCTGCGGGGGCCCACTGTGGGGCCGTGCCGGGGCATGGCCGGGGCGCTGTGATGGTCCGACTGGGTGGCAAACGGCCCTCCAGGGCGCTGTTACTCTGTCACGCTGCCACTGCAGTTCCTGGAAGGCCTGGAAGGAAGCCGCGCTGCACGTGCAACGACTGCACACTGAGAGTCGTTTGCATCGCCCTGTCTCTCTCGCACTCACGGGGCGTTTCGCATAGGTGCGAGAGAGGCAGAGCGACGAAAACGACTCTCGGAATCCAAGTCCACCCGATTGCTCCACCCACGGGACGACCCCTCATGCTGGAGGTTGGCCGAATCCCGGATTCCCACTGACGCCCCGAATGGCCGAATGGCGCCGGATTAATCCGATTGCCGAACATCCGCTTTGACCGCTCTGTCTCTCTCGTCCTCGTGGGACACTGGGCGGCTCCGTGTGAGTGCGAGAGAGACGCCGAAAACGCTGTGCGGATAATCAGTCTGCTGACGTGTGCGTCTGGCCGAGAGAGGGATGATGGGGTTGGAGGCCTTCAGCGTGCCTTCAGCGCCGGCGGCATTCTGTCTCTCTCGCACTCGCGGGGCGTCCCGCGTGGGAGTGAGAGAGACAGAGCGAAGAGGCGCTGCTCGCAACCAGCCAGCAGCCCCGCTAATAACTTGGGGCACAGGCAGGCGAGTGCCCCCACGGCCCCCGCAGCCCCCGGCTCGAGTGCAGTCAAGCGGGAGGGGCGCAGGGGAGCTAGACTTTCACGGAGCACACAGTGTAGTGGCCCACTTGTAACACCCGGTGCCGTGCAGTGCCGCCCCCACCCCGCTTGAGCGCCGCCCGGCCGCCCCCGCGCCGCCGTCCCGAGCCGTCGCGGCTCCCCGGGCAAGGGGGTGGGGGAGGCGGGGGCGGCCGGGGCTCAGGGCAGGGGCCGAGCAACTCATGGGCAGCCACAGGTGGGGCCTACAGCCCCCGCGGCCCCCGCAGCCCCTCGGCTCGCTCATGTCCGTCCCCACGGATGCGTCATCGACCTCGCGTCATCCTCCTGGAAGTCCTGGAAGGCCTGCAAGTCCTGGAACTGGGGCGAGTGTCAGCCCCCTCTGAACCCACGCTTCCAGCACTCCGGCCGACTTTTCCATTTTCACGGGTCTCGCGCTCCAGCGAGTTGACGGAGCGGTCTGCCCTGTCCCATCCTCACGCGCCGCTGCCCGCGGCGGACATTTTACTCGCTGCCCTACTTCCGCTCCGGTCACTTGGCCGCGCAGGTGGGTCCTCGTCAAACCACGACGGATTTCCAAGAAACGCCCCCGCCGCCCGGGAGCGCCAGCACGCAGCGCACGCAGCATTGGCTCGCTGAATCACGGCCAATTCCTCCCGGAATCGTTTAAATCGATTGCCATCGCTGTCGGAATTAATTCTCCAGTACTGCCAACTTCCGGTGAGCCGTCCCAAAAGCAGACGCGCTCGGGTCCGAGGAAATACTCGTCCCGTTCGAAAGTCGAGGGGAATTGGTGAATTCCGTTCGGGCGCTCGTCCCCGCGCACGTTTCTTCCGTCTCGCGAATCGAACTTCCAACTTGTTGGAGGAGGGGGGCGTGCGCGGCGTGCGTTGGCCAAATTAACGCATGCGTCGTGAGTGGACGGAAGTTGGGAATGTTGGGAAGGGGAAGCCATCGCCCCAAAGATAACGGTAGGCTGCAGTTGATTTCTGTTCATCGAGCTATTCGGTTATCTGCACATTTTTCAAGAGATTTCCTCCGAGTCGGCCGTATAGTCGCAAATCTGAGATACATTTGAGTCGGTCTGCCGAGCCGACGCGCCCAGCGGTTTCTCTAGTGTTGCGTCCTGAATCCCAGTGGAACATGGCAATTTGTTGTGCTTAATTAGGCAAAGGAGTAGAAAGGGGCGGGAGGAGAGCCGGCCCGTTAACGCTGTCAAATTTATAGCCTTCCAGGTAGGTTTTTAGCCAACAGTAATTCGGCTCGCCCGCATAGCCAAATGTAGTGGCAGCTTCGTTTGTGGTGGCGGAGCGCGGAGCGGTGTCCTCGACTCGGCAGTGCCGTCGTCGGGCTGGGTTGCGCCCACCTCTGGCTTGCTGTTCTCACGCCTCGATTTGGCCCAATTTCTGTCTTTTATCGGCGTTTTATCGTAAAATCCTGCAAGCAGGGACCGCCGCTTTGCTCGGCCGCCTGGCAGCGAGCGCAGGAGCACGCCCAGGCCCAGCGGAAACGATTGCTGCTCGTTTGTTAGGTTAGGTCGGTACGTTGAATGACGTGTTTTGAATATATCGCCTGACACTTGATTGTGGCTTAGTCACGTCACGCGGCCCGAGGCCGGCCGTACGGGGACCAATTTTCGCCAGCAAAGGCGACGGTCTTGAGCAGTGAGGTTTTACCTCGAAGGTTGGCGGCGCGAAAGAGGTTAAATTTCATCTCAGTTTGGGTGAGGCCTCCCTGTGGTTGAGTTTCAAGTATTACGAGCATTATGAACCCACTTGTCGGTTTCAAGTGCATTTTGTGATATCAACATCTCAAACTCGCTTGTAGTTTGGAAGGATACTCTTAGCAGACCTCACCCCTAGGTCACCGAAATTCTTGTGCCTTATTAGAATGGCTTCTACCTTTATCGCAGAGCTTCTGTCTGGGCTTTCCTGAAAATGAACGATTCATAAGTTCTCTGTATATGAATTTTCAGCTTTTTATCATCATTAATTTGTCTGTTTCTTCTTGTTTACAGTTATACACTGAATTCAAGGATGCGTGAATACAAGATTGTTGTTTTGGGAAGCGGAGGTGTAGGAAAATCTGCCTTAACGGTACAGTTTGTACAGGGCATTTTTGTAGAGAAATATGATCCAACTATTGAAGACAGCTATCGTAAACAAGTAGAGGTTGATGGACAACAATGTATGTTGGAAATTCTGGATACTGCTGGCACTGTAAGTATTAGGCTTCATGTTTGCATAAATTTTCTAAATTTGATTCATTGAATTTTTATGATGTGCTGCTTTTTTCTAGGAACAATTTACAGCAATGAGAGATTTATATATGAAGAATGGGCAAGGATTTGTTTTGGTTTACTCCATCACAGCTCAGTCTACTTTTAATGATCTGCAAGATCTGCGGGAACAGATATTACGGGTCAAGGTATGTTAAGTCTAGTGAATTATTATGCTAAATGTGTTTTTTTATCAATAGATTCAGTGAAAGAAATGTTAATTGTAAAAGCAAAAAGTCATGATGATTGATCTTCCCATTTAGGATACGGATGATGTGCCCATGGTACTAGTTGGCAACAAGTGTGATTTGGAAGATGAGCGAGTGGTTGGTAAAGACCAGGGAGTGAATCTTGCCCGACAGTTCAACTGTGCCTTCATGGAGACTTCAGCGAAAGCCAAGATCAATGTTAATGATGTAAGTAAATTTTTTATGCACTTGTCTTGTGTCTCTTATTAACACCAGTTTTTGTCTAAGAAAAAGTTCTAACTTTCCTATGGTTTTCACCAGATATTTTACGACCTAGTGCGACAAATCAACAAGAAGTCCCCAGAAAAGAAACAAAAGCAGAAAAAGAAGAGTGTTTGTGTGCTTCTCTAAGAATCTCTTGTGAACTGTTATGAACTAAGTGGCACTGCATTCGGCTGGGGGTGTGGCTGGGAAGGAGCGCAGTGCAGCCTGTAACATGGTATGTGTGGTACCCAAATTCTGTCTGTAAAGGGAACCAAAGTTAGGGGTGATAATGACTTACAGAGTGCACAAAGAAGCATTTACTGCTAGCATTCTATTAAGGGTGTCTGCTACCTTCCTTAGGGTACTTTGTTTCATTTTATTAATACAATTTTAACTTGTCTCTGTCCTTTAAATTGCACATCACTGTCTGTTTCATGTAAATTTTAATATTGGTTTTATTGTACCACCTCAATTTTATTGTCATTCTCATTGGATAGTCAGTTTGGAGAAGAGAATTTTGATTACTAACGGCGCACTAGTGTCTTCCAAGTGTTGGGTGCCAGGTTAGGTTGTGACAACAGCAGCTTCCGTGTTGCTATGTTGTCCATCTGCCTATTTCCCTTGAACCATGCATGTTAAACTGCCAAGTTCTTTGTACATTTGTGCAGAAATATGTTGTAATTAATATGGCGACACAGTATTGTTTCCTACCCTTATCTGATGTGTAGAAACTGTTCATAAGTAGTACTTGTTTCTATCAAGACTTAATGATGAGTGTCAAAAGTTAATTATTGCATATATAAATAGAAATATATATAAATAAATATATTACCTGTTTTTTTTCTTTCTTTGGAGTGTCATATTGATTGTTAAAAGGTATATGTAATATAACTGGTTGCTCATCCAGTTGGCTCTTTAGAGCTGCTACTTGGTCTTCTTTTTACAATGAAATGTTAAACGTAAACATTGTGCACTAGGCAGTTCATCATAAGGGAATCAGACCGTACTGTTCGATTGCCTTGTGTGACAATTTTGAGGCTTGCGTTTTATTTTTGTCCACCATGGAAGTGTTCTGATTTAAATTTTAGTTAACTGAAAGAATTTGTTGGAAGTTGGAAGGTACATTTTGATGTGGTGTGACACTGATAGTGTGATTGTGTCCCTCTAATTAAGTTGTCATTCTGGGATACTTCAAATTTTACATGCCCCTCTCTTTATCTCTATTTTAACCATTGATAGAGCTTGAGGTCCTGTAGCAACAGTTGTCATGAATTTTCCTGTATGTTCTGGGGGTTAAAGGACTTGTCAGATTACTTCCATGTTAACTAATTATATTAGTTTTTGAAGTCCAGGAGCAATGCTATTTTAAGTACATGATTGGACTCCAGCACATTGGCAAAATTTTCTTGTGAGAATTTTGATGAATCAATTAGTTTTCTACCTTCCTCATGCTGACAATTTTTTTCCCCTTTTTTGAACTTTTTTTTCTTGTTGCTAAGGTCTTTGTTAATAGGTGTCAGCTAAGAAATATCAGTCAGAGAAAAAGCATTTGAAGTAGAGATGAAATTTTGATGTGAGATTACATATCAGTGTCACTCAATGTCTCTGCTGCTTCAATTTAAATAATTGTTTTTATGATGTGCTTTGTGGTATTAGAACTTAATAGACCTTTTCTGACCTTCAAAAGTAAATTAAAAATCCTGTACCTGTCTTGTGTAGGGTAAAATACTTTCCACTGAGCTCTCTCCGCAAATTTTCCTGAAGAATTTTTAGTTTAAGCTCCATTTTGTAATGTTACTTCCTTACCCTTTGTGAAATGACTGTGTGTGTGTGTCTTCCGTAGGGTCTGTCAATGGATTTGACAGAATGCCAATTTCATTCTCTAAGGTAATTTGTTAAGTTGAAAGGGTAGGAAATGAAATCGGCATTCTAATTTCACAAAGTGATAAGGAATCCATGTGCCTTACCTTGCATGATGTGAAGCCTCACTTTAATGAACAGGGGAAACATCAGATGACCTAAGGATTGTGACCTTTTCACTCCATCTGTGCATGAAGGTGGTCATGAGGGAAGCATTCAGAAGCAAGCACTGTTGCTTAAATTGTTACAATTTTATTTTGTGGCATTGTACAGTACCTAGTAGAAGTCCACAATAAGTTACTTTTTATCACTTACTTTTGCTTGTTAAATTTTCACTCGATATAAATTTCTTGTTAAGACGCATGTAAACTATCTAATGAAATCCTATAGTTTTCCACTTTTATGTTGAGTCGGTGCTGTATTGTGGTTGTGCATTCGGCATGATTTAGCACAAAGGTCCTGCTTGTATAGAATCGTCTGGTGTACACTCAGTGTCGAATTAGGTAATGTCCCGACTACCTGTCGACTCTGTTCTTGATAAAGCTCTTGATTAGTTAAGAGTTGAATCTGAAGAACAATCAACTTATTATGTTGTGAGAAAGATTAAAAATGTTACAAACTTAAGCCTAGCTCCAGATTTCATTGTATTAGTGTTTTTTCTTCAATATTCAAACAGTAACGTTTCAATCCATTTGTTTTATACACTCCCATGTTCATATTTCCCACAAAGAGCACAAAATAGGGAATGGTGTAGCATTTGCAGTAGAGCAATGTACAGCACAAAAAGCTTGTTATTTTTGTTATAACAAGTGTTTCAGGGACTGAATTCTTACTGGTCTGAGCCTTTATCTGTGATTTAATTAATTTGTTTTTGCCATATTTGTTTCTAATGTCTGTATTTTGATTGCTTGGAACATTGAGTGGAAAACAATCCTGTCGCAGAGGCTGCAATACTTTGACCTGTCTTTGGGGTAAAGTTGGTGGGGCTTGTTTTATAACATCTTATATCTTTCACTTTAACTATCTAGAAATTTTATAGGCAGCAAGAATTCATGGCCTATGTGTGAATTAATTCATGCATTCACAACCATTCACTGTATATCTTCTTATGAAATGTCTCCTGGAAATAATGTTATTTCCTGTTCAGACTTTTTTCTCTTATAGTCCAGGGACCAAAAGTTAACCAGAGAACAGAAACAAATTGTCAACAAACAGCATATAATTTTCTTTTAAATCATCGAATAAGTTCTATATTGAATCTAAATCAGTTTTTAATGACTGTTAGGGACATTACCAGTCTTTCATTTAACTTCTGCGAGAACACCAAAAAGCTTACCTCTATTGCGATATATTGTGTAATATTTTAAAAGTCTGCCATGTCAATACCTTTATTTTCCTCTAAGCCATTATCTGTTTTTGTTTTAAAAAGAAATAATTGGTGTAGTGTAGTTTCTGTTACATTGCACAATTTCTTATTTCTTAAAATTAAATGTTTCCCAAACAACACAAATGTGTACACAATCTACTTCTACCAATCTGCTTCTGCATGCAGAAGGTGCGCCGCGCCGGCCCACCTGCTTTGGCCCGTGAAAGTGCTCACTGGTGTCCATGAAATGAAAACTGGGGAATCTCCAGCAGAAGTATCATATGAGTGCACACTAAAACTAAGCCAGTTGAATGGTGACTGCACCATGGGGTAAATAGACTACACTTCATAAAATGCTTACTCATTTTATTTTCCTGTTTTAAAAGAAGAAGAAAATGAACAAGATTATACACAATACACATTCATAGGACATTTAATGGAAGGGTAAAGATGGATGAAGCTGAGGTGAAGAAAATAAGTACCTTTCAATATACCAATTTGGTCTTCACAAATAGCTTTCATGTTAATATCTCACTCACATTGAAATCACAGCTGCAATCAGTCTAGGTTCTTTCAACTTGCAGTTATCTGATTGAAATCACCAAATTCTCATTTACCACTCAAAATTAGCTTGGGTGATAAAATGCAAAAGTTTAGAACAAGCAGAAATATAAATGACACAGTCAATACTCTGCGCAAATATGCATTGGATAGTAAAATATGACTTGGGAGCAAGGTATTAGTAAGTGCAACATATTTGTAAGAGTATTACAGAGAAAATCACAAAACCTTCACTTGAAAAGTACAGTCACAATGAGCATCTACCAAAACAAATATTTTATCAGCAAATTTACAGACGAATAAGTTAACTTTTCCTTAAAGTGGTTTAACATTTTACTTGCGCAATTTTTGAAGTTGAGGTGCTGAAACCTTGACTGAACCAGGAATGTTGCGAGCTAGGTCTTGGTCCTTAACAGCCTTCAGCAGGTCCTTCTCATGGGCAGTAGCTTGACGGTCTCGCAGGAACATGTTCAGTGCCGTCCTAGCTCCTTTGCCCCTTTTCCCTGTTCCAGGAGTCAATTTCACCTTGTACCTGAGTAGAGAACATGAAACAAAACATCTTATAGTCAAACAGCCTGTTGATGAGGTCTTTCTTTTTAGAATAAGACATGTCAACATACTTGTAATTTTGTAAAGAATTATACGGCGCCACCACCGGCACTGCAAAGAGAATTTCATCTTCTGGGAGGGGGATTCCAGTGAGGGAGTCCAGCATGTCAACCTCGGCCAAAACCACTGGTTCTGCAGGGTCTTCCTCATCATCTCCCTCCCTGTTGGCATCTTGCTGTGTTCCATCCTCAGCCCGGATCGTCTTTTTAGGAATTTTGGGTTGCGGTATGTTAGGCTTTGGTCCAGATGGGGGCGCCTTTCCCTTTCCCTTTTTGTTCTTAGCCTTCTCTTTCGGAGCACCTGCGGACTGTTCCAATTGGTTCAAGTGAAGGCACCTTTGCTGCAGAAAGTTTGCAGCAGGATTGAAAAGAAACAGAAGAGTTAATGAATACCTGAAGCACTTGCATACGTAGAGCCCTTTCTTCTTCGTCCTGGTCCTTGTACTTTTCTTTCTTTTTCAACTTTCCTTTCTGCCCTCTTTTCAATTGAGTTTGTTGTTGTTTCTTGCTGCTCCCGTCCTCCTCCTCATCTGTAAAGCAATCGTTACATCATACATAATTCCTAGATCATTTGGCTTGTTCTGGCAGTCCTAAAACTTCAAAGTTTGCATTACCTTCTTGTTTTCCTTTTTCTTTATCTTGGCCTGATGTCTTTTTGGGTTGTCCTTTCTCCTTTGGAATTGGACGACTACTACCAACAATATATTCTTCACTAACTGATACTCTAATATCATTTCTGAAAAAAAAAACACCAACAAACAAGCATGTTTGAGTAAATGTTTATGTAGCTGAGCTGTAAAGAAAAGTCAACATAAAAAAATGTAGTACTTACACATTTTTTACCAGGTGGTCTACAGCAATTTTGGTATCAGGGAAAAGTGACTCATCATCACTCTTTGGATGATCACCACTTTCATTTGACTCAGTGGGCTCTACTTCATCAGCATTTCCTTCAACATTTTCTTTTGGGGTATCTGAGCATGCAGTTAAATATCAACATCAATATGAACAACACATAAAAATTACAAGTAAGCTAAAAACTAGCGTTTCATAATGGAGCATACCTTCTTCCGATTTATTCTCATCATCAGAATTGTCTAAATCAATTTCCTGTTCAGCATCTTCACTGGCTTCTTGGAAGTCGTGTCTGAGGTCAGCTTCCTCGTCTGCCCCACGCACTCTCCTCTCACCTGCATGTCTGAAATCATATGCATTATATCCGACTGAACCCCTACCACCTTCAAAGCTAGTAGGTATACTCAAATTTAACGTACCTCGAGACAGAACTTTCTTCTAATTTAAAGAGGAAACTAAAGCCCATGATGAGGTGTGCAGGTAAGAGGTAATTTTTCTTGCCACGAATCATGAAGCTTCCTGTGGTCAGGTATTCACCAGTGGGAGCAGTTTTGGAAACTTGATCACTTTGTACCCACCAGGCATTGGTGAGAACTTTGGCTTCCCACGCAACACTAGAAAAGATACAAGCTTTAATTAATTGCCATCGATACATATTTGAAATTTGTTACAGAATTTAATTTAAAGGATGTCAATTTACCTGTACGAAACGGCCATCACACCTGCTTCATTCAGTGTCTTTGGTGGAACTGGTTTCCCAGAAGGATTCTTAATAACTATACTGCTGGCTCCAGATAGGTCAGCATGAACATAAATATCACCGGCTCTCATATACCGCTTTACAATTAGTTCATTCTGGACCTGATCCCGGCCTCCAATGACTTAAAATATTTAAAAAAGAAAAATTCAAAATTAAAACTTTTTTCTCTTTCCAAATAGTGGTCCACAAGAAAGGCAATGACATACCAAGATAATTCTCAGAACTGATAAACCAGAAAAATTTTTCAAACCAGAAGGTTTTTCTAGCTTTGCTAATATTTGTTAACACTTGAACTTCCTTAAGTGTTTGTTTTGTTTTCTTTTCTGCACTTTTGAAAGCTTTTTCTTGAGACTCAATAGTTTTCTGGTGCTTTTTAGCAGCAGACCTCTTTTGGTCATAGTAACTAGGAAAATAAGAAAAATTTATGACAAACATAAAAAATTTAGATAAGAACATCTCAAGAGTCACTACTAACCTGCGGGCATTCGCAAATGCACCCAAGTCCAAGTTGAGGTCAATAAGTGTTGGCTTCAGAGGAGTTTCATCCGAATCGGAGTCATCATCAGAAAAAGGGTCACTATGGAAAGCCACCAGAAAAAAATTATTTCATTTGATTGGACAGGTGATATAAGGTTACAAATTAGCAAAAGCATCTGTTTTACCTTAGAAGAACAGTTATGTGGTTCATTTCCAGTTTCAAGTGTTTTATGCATGTAGCTATGGGATCTTTTTGAGACTGGGCTTCCTTTAACATAATTCCAATGTCAGACCAAGAAGCCTGACTGGCAATGGCAGTTCGTACTGCAATTATAGCACTGTCAACGAGCTCTTGGTTTCGCATAATAAGCTCAGCTTTCATACGATCTGCTTCCTGAGTTTTTGTGAGTGCTTGTAGTCTGTTAACATGATCCTTTTTCACATTATTTAATTTCTTCAGAGCCTCTCTCTCCTAGAAAATTGGTAGAACGTGTAAGAGTTTAGAAATTTGGGGATATACCACAAAAAAAATATTTCCTAGGTCTTTACTAACCTGCTGAATGGCCTTGAGATCAATTTTCTGGCTTTCTTGAGAAGAGTAAAATTCATCAACAGCTTGATCAAAGGAATCAAATTCCCTGATTGGCTGGCCTCTCATTTGAAGGAACACAGTCGGGTGAAATTCTTGATTACTCAGAAAAAAATCCTCACTTGAAGGATCTCTTAGCTCTTTCTTCTGAAGGATGTAACCCTATTAAACATAATGCATTTTACATTGATCATAAACAGTTATTGAACTTACACAATGGGACATGTTGTTTATGGTACTCACTCTTGACTTTTCTTGCAAAGCTCTGTCAATCATGTGCTCTGCTTGTTGCAATGATTCCATTAACTTACTAATATCCTCTTCTGAATTGGGATCTAAACCTTTGTTGATCTTCACTCCTGCAGGAAATCCCGCCAGCAATAAAATGTGGTCAATGACAGCAGGACCGTATTCTGTGAAAAATAATAACATGTTACAACAGCAAAGTTCTGGATTAAAACAAAATCTGATGATGGTGATCTTGCACTTGCCTAAATGTGGATTCAGAACTTTCCTCAGGCTTTCACCTGCTTTGGCTTCAGATAAAATTTGTTTAATTCGTTCTACTGAGGGAGGTGGCATCCTTTCCCTTGCACGGCCAGTTGGATATTTTTCTCTCACACAAAATCTACAAAATATTAATAAAATGTCCATTGTTACAAAAAAAAAAAGTATTTCAAAATATCTGGTATTCAACTCTGATATTATCTGTACCTAACTTCTTCTCCTTCAGTGTGAGGTCGTAGTATGTTCAAAGTTGTCATTTCATAGTCCGTCAAAATGATGTTACCACGATCGTATAGTTCCAATATAATATGGTATGCTGCCTCTCCCGTACCAAATTGAAAATCTACAATACGATCCATCCCCATTTGACGGAGAGACTCCAGTCTCTTATTTCTCAGATGTTTACGCAACTGTCACACACAAATTCCAGACTGACAACAGGGGCGCAGTGGACAAAAATTCAACAAAAGAGGAATGATGCTATTTACCTTCATACTGAATCCAGATGGACTGGCATTTTTCGGCCATTCAAAAGCTGTCGAGTGAAATCTGATACCTGATTCAATGAGTAATACAGCCTTCTCTTCAGGGCGTTGCAGTTTAATCAAGTAGGTGGTGTTACCCACATCATAAACTTGAGCCACACGCATGCCCACCAGTCTTAGGACAGAAAACAGAGAGAGAAACATTAAAAGTCATAGAAAACCATAGACAAAATTCAAAAGAACGAACAATACTGTAGAACAAGGGAGAGCAGAACCAATTTCACAAATTTCACAAATTGAATATAAATAGACTGACAGCTTACCTCTGCAGCTCGGTGACATTGCAAATAATATCAAACGTAGAGAACCGGGTCTTCATTTTGAGTGGTTAAACTAGTGCGGACAAAATAAGCTAAAATTGACAATCAAAACACAAACACGTAACCTAGAACTAGAAGTGTGCCAACATTGCGAACTGCTGATGGGGCAGCTGCGATTAGTGCTACCACTATGCGCAGTCCGTCGTCTTGCCTGCGGATAGCGTGTTGGCGCGCCTTTTCGACATTGACCGCGAGGACCGCACGGCGACACGGCCACGGGACGGGCGCATCGCCGCGACGACGCTGCCAAGGCCTGGCCAGTCACGATTGGTCGGGGCGGAGGTGCGGAGACAACGACCACGACACGCAAATAACCAAACAACCGCAGCACGGCCGTGCGCGTAGCGGCGTAGCGCGTGCATCACGGGAATCACCAGGAATCACCAGCAGTGGCGTGGCGGCCACGGCCTCGCGAGCCCCGACTACCATGACCAGACCATGACTCGATCGGGCAGTCCGTGACCAGTGACCACCAGTGACCCGTGACCGACCTATTCGAGAAACGTCGCCTAGCTGCCCAGCTCCGCGGAAAGGGCTTGCGACACCTTTCCCTCCGTCAACATAGGTAAATTTCGGGACGCCTCGCGTCTTGGAAGTGCGGAATTTTTTTTTTTGACGGACTGTATTGTTCTCCTTGTCTTGGGTAGGTGGTTTGTTGGGACTTGTTCCCATGGAAGAAGGAAGCCGTTCGCCAGAAACTGCGGGCAGCGTGAGTAAAAGGACCGTCGGCTTTCTTTGTGTGGCGGCTTTGCTTCGCTTTGCTTTGTCTTGGCCGCGCGTCGCTGGGCTTCGCTTCACTGAGCTCCGCTGCTCGCCAGTGTAGTGTACGGTAAACAAAGGGGATGGAAGAGAAACACCCGAGCCGCTGTCCGTTCGACCGCGGTTTGGTTTATTCCGATTCGAAAAGTCTAGTGCGATGGAAAAGGGCAGGGCGTTTCGCGCGGAGCCGCGAGCCAAGGGCGCGGGTTCGACTCCCGATGGAGCTTCCCCGCGGGTCGCGCTTTTCGCCACGCCACGGTGCAGTGCAGCACGAATGCAGAGGGTCGCACCCGGGGAAGGCAATCGTCCGCCTGATTTGTTTGAGAACACGCGGCACATACCTACTCTATATTTTTAGATGGTACAGTACCCGCACCCGCCAAAGCGCGGCCAAGCGCGGCCAAGCGCGGTCGCATAGTTCGCCGAATGGGTTGGGTTGTACGGCGCGCGCTTGGCGGGCGCTTGCCGCTTGGCCTCCGCCTTTTGTCCAACGAGCAGTCGCCGCCCGGCGCAGGCCGCGCCACTTCTGGAAGGCGCAGCCCGTGACAAGGACTTCGGCTCGGGAAGGGAACGTCGTCTTGACTTTGTCTGCTTCGCCTGCATTGTTGCGCCTGTTGTTTTGGTTGCGCCCCGGACGTCCTATTCGATCCAGAGGGGCCCAAGTGGTGTCCTCCAGCCCCTGCCCGTCGCTTGGATGAGGGGTGTCACCTAGAGGTGTGTGGCCTCGCCTCCCGTTCCCGTTTCGTGGAGCAAGGCTGTCTGCTGCAGGGGGCTAGAGCCACCATCGCTGCCCGTGTTGCACCTTGTCATGTTGTGTTTGTTGTTGTCTGTCTCGCAGCAGCCCGTCTCGCAGCACCTGGCCGACGACAAGGACAAGAGCATCATGACGGAGTGTTCCAGTCAGGACGAGGATGAGTTCCCAGAGATCTCGGACTCGCTGCGCACCCGTGTCTTCCATGCCGCCAAGGATGGCATGGCCATCACTCTTTACGATCTGCTGTCCAACCTCTCCGACAAGGCTGCTGATCATCTGTTGACCCAGGTAGGCACCTTGGCCCTGTCAGGCAGAAGCTGCAATAGTTGACGGACGTTTTGGGTTCTGGTGCGACTGTCATGTAGCTTGTCGAGAGATGACAACCCTGTGCTGTCATGACTTGCAGCTAAACTACGTTTTTTTTTCAGATTGTTGAAGAAGAGGATGGGCAACGGAGTACTCCGCTTATTATTGCATCTCGTAATGGTCACGAGAAAGTAGTAAAGCTGTTGGTTTCCCTATTTCATATCAATATTGATCAAGAGGGAGTGGTCAAGTTTGATGGGCACAAAGTGGTAGGTGCTACTGCTCTGTGGTGTGCTGCAGGTAATCTTGGGAGCATTGAGAATTGTTTTTAGAAACGGATTAATCAGTGATGGTAGTTTAATTACATGTTTCTGTTTTAATAGCTGGAGGTCACTTGAAAGTAGTCAAAGTTCTCATTAAGGCTGGAGCGGAAGTTGACCACCCTACAAAGACGAACTCCACACCACTTCGCGCAGCGTGTTTTGATGGGCGCTTGGACATTGTTCGCTATCTTTCTGAGCACAATGCAAATGTGCACTCTGCAAACAAATATAACAATACCTGTTTAATGGTTTCTGGCTATAGGGTATGTATTGCTCACTTTATATAATCTCATTCATGCTCAAAATTTCTCTAACAATTTGTAATATTTGTAGGGTCATGGTGATATTGTTAGTTACCTGTTGGAAAAGGGCGCTGATCCTAATGAAAAAGCTCAATGTGGTGCTACTGTTTTTCATTTTGCGGCTGAATGTGGTCAATTGAGCATTGTCAAAGAGCTGGTCGCCTGTGGTGCTAAGTCTTTTAAAAATGAAGCAGGTTTGTTTCAAAGGATTTATTCACACACATTGATTCTATCTGTAATTTGTCATACTAAAATTCTGAATTCTCCCCAACACCTTCCTGGTTTTCAATTCAGGTATGACACCTTTGTTAGTAGCTGCAGATCGCACCAGGGAAGATGTTGTGAAATTCCTCATAGCTCAACAATTTGTTTCGTATGAAGAAAAAATTGATGCACTGGAGTTATTGGGGGCATCGTTCGCCAATGATAAGGATAATTATTCACCTGCATCTGCATACAAGTATATGATGAAAGGAATGGAGATGCGATTTTTAAATAAGAAAAACCCAGTCTTGAAGAAACTCCCTCCACCTATACCAGCTTATGAAAATTGGGTAGAAGCTCAGACAATGGAAGAAATGGTTACTCGTGCTGTAAGTTGACACTTTTTCAGAATAATTGGTTCAGGGTGATGTTTGTGCCCATTGGAAACTGGATGTTGATAACTTTCGTTTGCAGGCTGATCTGCATTCACTGCACATGGAGTCTTTGGCCATCCGTGAGCGCATTCTTGGTCAGAAGAATCCAGAGGTGATACACCCTATTATTTATCGTGGTGCTGTCTATGCTGATCATGCTCAATTCGATCGCTGTATTCAACTTTGGATGCATGCTGTGAATCTTCGTCAAGACGTAAATGTGTCCGTTGTCAAGGACCTCTTGCGGTTTGCCCAGGTTAGATTAATTCGTTTATCTTTCTTGTTTCCATTCATGTAATTTTGTTGCACAAATGTTGTACATTTCCCTTTCTAGGTTTTTTCCCAAATGATTCATGTGGGTGCTCCCCTCAGCTACTCTCAGGTTAAAAGTGCAATGATATCAGCTTTGAAGGAAATTGAAAGCAACAAAACCAAGATAGCCAATCCTGGCCCAAAAGATGATGTTGAAACTATTCAGGTTTGTGTTGACTTAATCTTCCACTGTTTGTATGTTTGATTTCTTTTCTCTATATATCCTATTTATTATTAATTACAGGAAGAGTTGGATATGAATCTTATTACAATGTTGTATTTGCTGTGCATTTCTTGCAAGCTACTTGCAGATCATGATTCAGATCATGAAAGCCAACTGAGTCTCAATAAAATAGCTTTTCAAGCAAATCGTCTTGATGCTCGCTCGAGAGATGGGGAGACCCTTCTCCATCTCTGTGTCAATGTGGACACACCTATTGATGATTTCCACATAAATGATGTCTGCAAGTTAGTGTTATTTGCATCACATTTATTTGAATGGTTTTGAACTTATGTAATGTAGGCCCCTTATATTGGTTGTGACTGTTATTTCTAGGTTTCCTTGCGCTACAACAGCCAAGCTTCTGATTCAAACAGGAGCTGATGTGAATGCCATGGATAAGAACAGAAACACACCGCTTCATGTTATTGTCAGCTTTCAGCGCCCTCTCAGGTAAATGCTTTTGAATGAAACCTTCTGTCATAAATTTTTCCTCGGCTTTGAAAACAAATCTACTGTTTTCATAAGTTCAATTTTGTCAGTTACATTGATTTTTCTTCCCTGTCTTATCGTGCCTTTTCTCCTGCCCACTTAGGGAGTTTCTGACTGTCCACACCATCATTATTGATCTGACCTCTGCTGGAGCTCATCAGGATATATGCAATTCCAAGGGTGAAACACCATATGATGCTACCACAGGTGATTTGAACCTTTTCATGAACTTCAATGTTTTTCATAGATGAATTGGGTCTCCCGGATTTATCTAATTTGGTCTATGATCTTACTTCTAGGTGTAGCGGAGCTAATTTTAAAGTCTCAAGTAAAAATTAGCCTCAAATGTCTTGCTGCCAAAGTTGTGATGTCCCATAACATACCTTACATTGGCAATGTCCCAAAAGCCCTGGAAAGCTTTATAGAGTTACATGGTCCAGGTACGTCCCACACTAATAGACTTGCGTGTAAAGATGACACCATTTCTCCGAAAATTGCCTGTATTTAATTATGTACTCAAAGTGCCTTAGTGTGTAGAATCTTTTTTACTGTGAATCATTTGAAAGCTCAAGAATTTAGTTGAAGTTTCAATATATGTCTGTAAGGTAAAGTTTTTATTGAAGTCCCTTTCACTATTACTTGTAAGAAATGTTGCTTTTCCCTTTTTGCTAACAATGATAAACAGGGATATGCACTTCTCTCACCTTTCAGAGAGGAGGATGTTTTTAACGGGAAGAAATTTGCCCTACAGCAAAAATAGATAGGAAATGTGTGGGAGCAAGAGACATTAATTTTTGTGAAAAGATGGGAAAACTGCATATCCCTAATGATAAACAAATGTGATAAATAATTATTATTTAGTTTGTAAATACATTTCAAGTTTTCTATCGACATATGGACTTAAATCTCATTACACTAATGGAAAAGTACCTAATAGATATTGTTTTTATGTGAACTACTGTGGAAAAAGAAAGAACACTGGGCAAGCAAGGAGAATGTTTTGGGGCAGCATTCTTGTGATAGTAGACTTGACAAGAGTAGAACAGTTTAGGACAGATAATGATTGACTTGCAGTGTATTTATTCTCTCTTCAGCTTAACTATTTATTTTGCGTTGATGTTTTCATTCAATAATTTTTATTTATGAGTGACTGTAGTTCTCAGTGGAACGTCTTATTTATCTAAAGGTTTTTTAAGGTCTGAAAATTTCGGGAATCTGGGCTGCGGCTTATGTTGCTCTGAAATCCACATTCAGCCTGTCCACAAAGGATTCCCTGCATCCAGGTTTTGTTGCAAATCCCTTCTTTTTTGTCTTTAGAAATCAGAATATTTAATGAGTAAAGATGCATTCATGCCTGCGTGGTCTTAAAATTCTTGAGTCTGGAAATGAATCATGGAGGCTGGGGAAACGAATGTCAATGCACCTTACTGAATTGTTAATTATTTGTTGCAAGGGACTTCCACTGTTTTTATTATGATGTAGCATCTAATCAATTTACAGCTTATTGCTAGCACTAAAATACATTACATATAGCTAATTAGGTGAAAATACTTTTGTGTTGTTTGTGTTGTTGAACTCTGATATTTATTGGATGCCTTTGCCCCTCTGATTTTACATGTGGGGTTTTCAAAGAGATCTGTAATCTGTACCTAGTACACACAGAATTGTTGCATAACTGCCACTATAAAGTATACCTTCTTTTCTGACTGATGCCTGGTCACCCTTATGCATCTTCTTATGTGAAGGCATGCCATCTAGTTTCTGGGTCTAAAACAGCAATAAAGATGTGTACATGACAGCAAACATGTAAAAGACGAGTAGATATCTTGGTTTTGATGTTGTGACATGTTAATTTGTGATACTCACATTCATTTGGGTCCCAGTTATTTTTAACCAAATGGAGAGACTTATTTTGCTTCTTTTTAGCACCAGATGATGATTAAAAAAAAAAAACCACACACTTGCATGTCTTATGAAGCACAACATCAAGGTGCCCAAGTCTGATAAGTGCATTAGTTGTTTTTTTTTTGTTTGTTTTGTTTTGTTAATTATTAAGTTGTAATATTGTAATGTACTTCAAATAGTTGGGGCAGACTCAAGCCATTGTTTATTTTACCCCTTTGTTCTTTTGTTATTGTTATATGCTTGTTAGCTTTAATTAATTCTATGTGTGTGATAGTTGTACTCTTGTCCATAAGTAGATTTTATTCTGTTTTTTAAATTTATTGTTTTATACTACACATTTGTGTTTAAATCGCAAGGTTACAGAAAGCTTTATTGGTACAAGAGTTAAATTTTCAATTGTGTGATTGGTATTGGATACTTATTCCTGAGATTAATACTTCCTCTTTTGCCATTTAACAATGTTGTGTAGCTTCTATTAAGTATCTGGTCAATTACCTTGTTAAGGAACAAATTGGCATCCAAAGAGCAATGCTCATTTGTTCAAGTACAAATGTTTAGTTCACTGTTTTATTTTTTTGTGGTTCTTAGACTTCGAATGCGACTGGATCTTGAAATAGACAGTGTATCAGACTGATTAATTACTTGTTAAGCAAAATAGAGTGTAATGAGTGAAGAATCTTTAGTTGATGAAACAGTAACTTTTAGAAGAAGACTGAGAAATTTTTTTGGTTAGAGAGAAGATAAACTGCAGATTTTAATGATTGTAATTAGATTGTCAGTCGCATTTTACTTGGATGAATGCCAAAGAATAAAAGTAAATTCTGGAATGCCTAATAGTTGTCTTCTTTCCATACACTTTTTAAGTTTGACAGTTATGAACCTGGACAATACTTCATAAGAGGATACTTGATTTGACAATTTTTAATCTCTTTGAAGTGATTGGGTTTGGTTAAGTCCAAAATCTCAAAGTGTATGTAACTGCAATGTTCTTAAGGAGAGGTCGTTTCATGCATATATATTGCGTGTGATGTACAACCTGTGTGACAAATAAATCAATTAACTCTTTCTGTTTTCCACCTTCTATTTCCTTACGGCCCCCGCCCGCCCAGTTTTGAATTTTGGAGCGATGCTTGGCAACACTGCTTCTGTTTCCGGTACCTGAGTGCAACACACACACACGCACACACACACACATTGCGTGTGCTTCACGAAGCCGTCAAAAGTGTCAAGTATGCAGTTTTTAATTGATTTCTGCTTATTGAAATCCTTTGAATTTCCTTGTTTGCGGATGTTGCACTCAGTTGACGCTGCTTGAGACTACGGTCCGCTAGCACAAGCGTCCATCAACTCCGCCTCTCCCATGCACCTGTTGACAGCAACTTTGCAGACGTCTGTGTTGTCATAACCTAATTGCGCTCTGATGAAACCACCGTGTTATGCAATTTTCCACCATTATTCCTTAAATAAGATCAATTTAAAAGATTCTGCAACTTTTGTTTGGTCCACTGTGAAGAATCTCGTCATCCTGTGGTGTGTTCCTTATTCCTATCGCAGTAGAATCGGTATTTCTGCTGCACCCAGGAAGTTGGTTGATTCAAAACAATGATCTATGTTTCATACTTTTATTGACGGATTTTCCGTCGAAGTGGCATTTTCAACCTCTTAATCATATCGAGCTGAATTTTATTCCCTCCGACTAGAACTTACATAACTGAAATATACTGATGACTCAAGCTGAATTCCTGAGTGGCCTTCCTGCTCTAGGAAGTGACTCATAGAATGAGCACCAGTCACTTTTCTTTGTTCTACTCGTTCAATTTCGGTATTGGAGTGTATTGGAACTGTGAAATAATGCATTTCCTCCTCCTTTTCTGCTTTTTTCAGCTAACCTTAGTCGAGTCAATGTAAGACTGTGTACCGATGCTGAAAATGCCAAGGCCTTGCCAGGTGGGGCCTGATCCAGGCTTTTCTAGTTACGGCGCCACATCAAGTATTGTCAGCAAGCCACCAAGAGGGTGGCTGCATTCGGACAAACAGATTTCTGATGAGGGAATAACATATGCAGTCAGGGTAAGCTGCTATTTTGACTACTACGCAGTAAACATGCATGCTTTTGGGATTGCCAATGTTAAATGTGTCTATGCATTGTTTCAGTATATTGGATACTTGGCGGTAAACACATCCATGAAAGCTTTGGACTTCGACACAAGGTCTCAGGTGGCAAAGTAAGTCACCACTCCAGAGAAGTTACATTTGAAAACACTTACAATTTTTGGTATTTTTCAAACATATCTGTGTTCTAGGGAATGTATCAATCGTGTCTGTGAAGCAGCTAGTCTTAAAACTGTGGATAAAAAAAGAAAGGTATGCCTTTGTGCTTTGTATAGCTTATTTCTACATACCCAGATTCATCATTTGCTATTATGATCCAGGTGGATAAAAGAGTCTTGAGAGCTATCGGCGAACGGCCAGTAATGGATGATGCTGGGACAAATGTCAATTTGACTATATCAAGCTCACATCTTGTATTAACAGCTCTAGAAACTGGTCGAGTCTTAGCCAATCACAGCATGCCTCATATATCATTTGCATCTGGCGGTGACCCTGTAAGTACATCGTCCCTTTTTAACTGGCAAGCTCAGGTCTCATTCATAAGACCAATTTTTTAAGTTTTACTTTATTTTTACAGGACACATTGGATTTTGTTGCCTATGTTGCAAAAGATGAGCATGATGTTCGAGCTTGTTATGTTCTTGAATGTGGAGGTGGGCTAGCCCAGGATGTCATCACCACTGTTGGTCAAGCCTTTGAGCTGCGCTACAAAGAATATTTAACAAGACCAGGAAGTGCTACACTAATGTAAATGATTACTTCTCACTTAAGCAATATTTTTTATAATTTATATATTTGATAGTAATTAGAAGTTTCTTTCATTTTAGGTCCAGAGGTGATGATCGAGAGTACTATAATGATCTACCTGGGAAAGTTCCTCCTGATATTGGACCACCACCTGTACCTCCATTGCCAAGCATACATAATGCACCCTCTACCACAGCAATAGGGAGTCTCTGTCGAGGTGGGTCAAGCAACATAAATTGCCCTTAATAATTCCATCAATTTTTGTATTTTTTCATGTTTTTACATTTTACCTGTAATGTGTTTTAATTTTTCCTCACCAAAAGCAGAAATTTCAGCTCCAAATTTGATTGACCTGAACATTGAAGTTCCTCCTCCGCCCATGCCAAGACCTGAACATAATTATGTGAATGATATAGTTATGTCTGAGGCCAGAGACAGGTTGAATTCTGTGCAACCTCGTGATATTTTTGATATGCGTAAGTTGATTCCATACTATTGATAAATTCTGTTTCTGGTGTAAATTTGATTCAATTTTGTGTTCATGCCTACAGAACCATTTAATACCGCAGTTGAAAGTGCCAGTGCTCGGGTGTCTAATCAGAGAGGACAGTTGCTTAGTGAGATATGGTTCCATGGATTTGTCAGCCGTCAAGATGCTGAGGCTCTTTTGACAAGGGTATGTTGCAATATTACCCCAGTCTTTATTAAACATTAAATGATAATGTTAATTCAAAAATCTTATTCCCTTTGGTATCTTGTGTTTAACTACAGGATGGAGATTTCCTTGTTCGTGAATCTCAGGGCTCTGCTGGGCAGTTTGTACTCACAGGACTACAGGGAGGCGTGAAGAAGCATCTTCTCTTAATAGATCCTGAAGGAGTTGTAAGTGATCTTAATCCAACTGATTCAATGAAGGCAATGTTCCAGAGTCTTATTTTTATCTTGATGTCATTTCTAGGTTCGTACAAAGGACAGAATGTTTGAAAGTGTAAGCCACCTAATAAATTACCACTGTGAAAATCAGCTTCCCATCATATCTGCTGAAAGCGCGCTTGTGCTCAGAAGACCAGTGCCACGTCCAGGCGTTAGTATTATGAGGTAAATGGATAATGGTGGATATTGCTTTGCCCTCCTTTTTCTCCTTGTTTTGTACTGCATTAAAGCATTTTTAATGAAACATTTTATGCAATGAATGAATTTGTGATATTTACTACATTGCATTAGTTATGTTTTTGTTTTTCCATTTTAGATGTCATGTTAGTTTTAAATGGATATTCATGAATTTTTTAAGATGTAATCTTGTTTTTAAGTGTCAGTGTCTTAGTTCTGCTCTTTTGAGGATATTGAGTATTATTTTATGCTTAGTGAAATTCATTCACTCAAAGTGCCTTTTGTTGACTTGAATTTTTCAACATTTTATTCAATTTAGATGTGTTGCCATAATCATATATACTAATGACTATTTTCATATAATTTTATCTCGTGACTGTTGTATCAAACATGAATGAACAAATGATGTACTTGTATTTGTGCATAGAAATATTTCTTTGTGAATCAAAGGAAACACCCATTGTTACTACAAACAATATCTACTTTAGATACCCAATGTAGGACGATGTGTGATGCTTTTGCTGGAGAAAGATGAAAAAGGGAGGAAGTGGTTATGTGCCTTTGCTGATTTTAGTACCAAGCTCATGGGCTGTGCTCAAATGCCACGACTGCCTCTTTGCATTTATTTTTTGGTAAGATGCTTAGTCAATCTTAAGTCATTAATATCATTGCATATTGACCTTGGTCGCAAAGTCAAGTCACATGACTGAGACTAAATCTAGGCAATTTTCTTGTAAGCACCCTCTCGTATATTTTCAAAGGCCAAAAAGTTGTAATCACTTAACATGGTTATTCAATATAATCCTTGTGTATTTGACCATTTGTTGTGTTTATTTCTCCTAATTTTACTTTGCACATGTACAATACTGAAGAAGAAATTCGGGGAATGGAAGAGGGCACTCAGACTCAGGTCGCCCGCCGGTACTGGGCGGGGCGCCCCCTCTAGGCGCACTCACTTTATTTATTTTCCCCCATTAAATTCTACAACTTAGCTTCACACAACTTAAAGTTGTTAAAAAATTTAAAAAAAAAATAGTGAAAAAGGCATCGTAGATGGTGTCAGGTGCGTCGCCGGGGACGCATCCCAACGCAGCCCTGTCCCTTTCGAACGCACCCAAAATCAATACTCTCGGTACTCTCGTCAGAACGTCAGAATCGCCAGACCCTGACACACAACACCACACGGCCGTGGTCGAGGTATTTCCCGAAAAGCCGCTTCCAAACGCCTGTCCAGTCGTCGTAGCCCGGTGCAAGATGTGGGACTGTGAGTATTGCTTATTTCGACGAACGAATTTCGTTTTTAAAAAATCGTTCTTGCCCGGTTTGTTGCTATTCCCTACGAACTTCAGAAACGGGGGAGCCTATGATCTGTTTACATAACATGGCCCCGCTCTAGTTCGGTTCTCTGTACGATTTCTATTTCCCACTTCAAAGTCTTTATCCCCTAGAAAAATGGACAAAAATACACTTGCAGTTTTCTTCCCTTTGGAAATGACCGTGGTTAAGCCCCGGTGCGCGGTACGCGGTGGTGGCATGTCCGGAGGCATCGTGGATGAGTCAGAAATGGAGGAACTCATTGGTTCCTTCCCTGAAGCAAAGTGTAGGGCCCAAAGTGGGGTCCAGTCTCTCAAATCAAGTCAAGAGCATTTGAAAATTAAGGGTAAAGAGAGTGTGCGGGCTGTGGAGCGGGTTGCCTATCCAGCGCCCAGGGGAAACCGGATCCAGGTTGGCCAAGCGCGCCATTGTAAACACCCACAAAGTTTGAATGTTGATGTGGAAGCAGTCGACAGAAATAATTTCTCTAAATAAGAGCATTTGATGATATCAGTTTTGATGATTTTGAGATCTGTGAGGAAGCTTGAGTTTCAAAGCTCACTCCTTTGGCGAACCGGCCTGAGATTACCCTTATTTATAGCTCGGTCGCTCTAGCAGACACAGGCTGCTTGAAAACTGTGTTTATTTATCCTGTAATTTGTTTCTATGCCGATCTATGAATAGAATCTGTCGTAGAAATTGTATTAAAATCGCCACCAAGATTCTGTTGTTATGAAATTGAAATGATGACTTATTTATTAGCCATATGAGAGAATGGACCTAACCTTATAATAGGAAATGAGGAGTATTTTCATCATTCAACATGGAAAATCTAGGTAAATTATCTACAGAGGTCTCCCCACGTTTTATGGTAAAGAAAAAAATTTTCAAGCTTTTGCAGAAAGGATTTCCAAAGCTTTCAAGGTTTTATTTTGGTTTGATTGATGTTACCGCTGCCTCAACTCCACCAATGTTCTTCTGTGAATTTTATCTATTCCTTGCCTACTAGTTTGAGGCATGTAATTCTATTCTCACAGTTCTCACAGCATTTTTTCTCTCTTCTTTCCAGCTACTATGTTCCTCAGCACCCTCACCCCCAAATTTTATGTGGCTCTCACAGGAACGTCATCACTTATTTCAGGGATGATATTGGTAAGTACCTTAACTCTGTCAAGAATTTCAGTCAATTTTCCTACTGAAAATTTGTTTTAGATGAATTTACTGATCTTGTTTATTTAATTGCAGATTTTTGAATGGTGGTACTTTAGAAAGTATGGGGCCTCATTTATTGAACAAGTTTCATTAAATCATATCAGTCCGTGGATAAGTGGGGCAGATAGCAACAGTGAGAACAATAGTAGTAGCAATGGAAGCAATGGTGCTTCTACCAGCGGTAGTAGTACGAACGGCAATGCAGGCAGTAGTACAGTGGGGGCAGCCAGCGGTCAACAAACTGTGCCAGGTAACCCACAATTTCTTACTTGATGACAGCTCTTGAAAAACTAAGAATCTCCTTCTGTAATACTGGTATCATATATTTGCAGAATGCAAGGTTTGGAGGAATCCACTTAATCTATTTCGTGGGTCTGAGTACCAAAGATTCTACTGGGCTGCCAACAAGGAACCTTTGACATACTATGACATGAATCTCTCAGCACAAGATCACCAAACATTTTTCACCTGTGAAGGAGATGCAGGAAAGAAAGAATATGAATGTAAGTGTTAAAAGGAGTGTTTTAGGAAATGAATATGTGGAGGTCGTTCTATATTTCAATCTTTCTTGGGTCTTTTCAGTAATGCAAACAGCATGGCGGGAGCGAAATCCCTCAGCTCGCATCAAAGCTGCTCATGAAGCCCTCGAAATAAATCCGGAATGCACTCCTGCCCTGATACTCTTAGCCGACGAGGAGGCAACAACTATTCTTGAGGCAGAAAAAATTTTACGATCTGCTCTGAAAACGGCTGAAAGTAACTATCGGAAAAGCCAGCAGAATCAACATCAAGGACTTTCTATGGAATGCACTCACAGTAAGGCTCTATGTTCCACATAAGGAATTATCTTAGGTATCAGAGGTGTTGGCAAATTTTCATAGAGAACACTTGTTTTGTTTCAGGAAGAGATACAAATGTACTAATTTATGTGAAGCGGAGATTAGCCATGTGTGCTCGTAAGTTGGGGCGCAATAAGGAGGCTGTTAAAATGTTTCGAGATGTAAGTATGAGAAAAGTTTTTGAATTTGACTTGACTCCATTGACCGATTGTCTCATCATCTTCTAACTGCTAATAACTTCCTTTTTAAAAAATTTAATTCCAGCTGACAAAGGAGGTCCCTCCAATTATGCATGTGTTAAATGTCCATGAGAACCTAATTGAGGCTCTGCTAGAGATGCAAGCCTATGCTGATGTTCAAGCTGTTCTTGCAAAATATGATGATATCAGTCTGCCGAAGTCTGCCACAATTTGCTACACTGCAGCCTTGCTGAAAGCAAGACTTGTTGCTGACAAGTAAGTTCAAGTGTACTTTGAATAAATTTTTTTAAAAATATAGTGTTTATGGTCATGAATACGTCTTACTAATGCTGTACTGTACCTTTCGATCAGGTTCTCTCCAGATATTGCCAGCAAAAAGGGGCTTACAGCTGCTGAAATGACGGCTGTGGAAGCAATTCACAGAGCAGTGGAGTTCAACCCTCATGTCCCAAAGGTATGTACTACCTAGTCAATTTTCTAGCATTTTTCTGTAAATTCCTTTTATTATCCTTATTATTTTGTGACACTGCTTACATAGTAAAATGCTAATTGTTCCTTTTTTCTTTCCAGTACTTACTTGAAATGAAATCTCTCATTCTACCTCCTGAACACATTCTCAAACGAGGCGACTCTGAAGCGCTTTCCTATGCTTTCTTCCACATTGGCCATTGGAAGGCAGTGGATGGAGCCTTGAACTTGTTGCACTGTACTTGGGAAGGCACATTTAGAATGCTTCCCTATCCCCTGGAGAGGGGACACCTTTTCTACCCATATCCCACATGTACTGAGTGTGCAGACCGAGAGCTGCTACCAGGTATGTCTGCTTTCTCAATAATTTGTTATTAATTATCAGATTTTTATTCTCTTAAATGTCTACTTTCTATCTTTTCTAGCTTTTCACGATGTCAGTGTGTACCCGAAGAAAGAATTGCCATTTTTCATTCTCTTCACTGCTGGTCTTTGCTCGTTTACGGCTGTCCTTGCCCTGCTCACACATCAGTATCCAGACAACATGGGCACCATTGCTCGATCGGTAAGCTATAAGTGATGTATTGCATAGGTTTCGTGGGTTATACAGTCTAATAATACCTTGTCCCTCTATATTCTAGGTACTCAGCTGGCTTACATTGCCCTTCACCTTCATATTGGAACGTCTGGAGGGAACCGTTCCCAGCAATCTCCTACAGTCACTGTCACGTGTGTAATCACTTTCATGTGTCTAACAAACTATGACAGTGCCAGGAAATATTTAAAATCAAATCTGTGCACACTTACCACCTTTTATCTTTCAAGTTTGGAAAATAGAGATGAAGTTGGAGGGAGAATAAAATTTGCCCTTTCCAAAACATTTTAAAAACAAAATTACCACCCTATTTATTTGGAAAAAGTAATTTTTAAAATCTGTGTACAGTAAAGTTTAGGGTACCTGTATCCAAACTTCACAGCCTACCGTATGCTGATTCTTATGTCATGTTCTCTATTGTTCCTACATGAAATAGATTAGTGTAATAACCTTGTCTGTGTATCCTGTACTTAAACAAAAGATGAAAGGAAACAAGCTTCAGAACTCTGCTAACAGCTGGAATGCTTTATTTGGAGTAATATTGGTCTTGAACCTATCTATCATATCAATAGGTTTTGACAAAATATTGCTACTGTCAATTATTTCGCAATCCTTTTGCTTCAGAAGTTATTGCTGTATCATTTCCCTTTTATGAGCATAATTTTCTCTGTGATAATAAAGTAAGTTATTGGTGTGGTAATTTCCTAGATTCTTTATTTTCCTTTCGAAACCGAGTTAAAAGGGAACCTGACACGACTGTCGCAAGTGCTGCAGGCGGGGCTGTGCAGCCAAGCAGATCTTTTGTGGAACACTAGGGACGATTGTCTGTCCTTGTACATTCTGTACTTGTACCTGTAAAGTCGTGCATTAGCCGAACGTACGGGTGCTGCCTCTACTTACATAAGTACACTCTTCTTGACAGAAGAAGTAAACATAGCAGACGACAGATGCTCTGCGGAGCAGACGATGCCCCAGGCAGGCTGGTCTGGGGGAAGGGACAAGAAATGGAGCATAGGGGAGACAAAATATCATAAACTAATTGTTCCTCTAATAAATAACCACAAGGAAAAATCTAAGAAAGAGGAACAGCACCTTGGAATAGCGTACAGCGTCGTCGCCGTTGTCGTCGTCAGGTTGTCGTCCTGACACCACCGATATTTCTCATACCACTGGTCAGTTTTACGTGACGTCACGATCAACACAACGATTTCAAATCTAGTGTACCGGCCACCCGCCGCCAGAGGACAATGAATGGGTGAACGTTGCCGGAGACTTGTCCAGACTCGTCGTCGACCTCGTTGCTGCCTTTGACGACTCGCAATCATGTTGGAGTGCAAGAAGCTTCCGGCGGGCTCATTCGGTGGTAAGTCAAACCGCATTGACTCATTCAATCCGTTCACCGGGCGTGTCGGTGCTGTGTAACGGCCGTGTTTTACTGGACTCAGTCGTCTGAAATCCGTTGAATTTTCAGTCTTTAAAGACCCAGTGACCTTTTCCTGTCGTAACCACCCGGCATTCCGTTCTCAGCTTCACATAAATATTTTTAAGTCTTGGAACTATGCTTTGGGGGTTGAGATTGTCATTGTCCTCATGCAGTTCCAACAGCTTGTTGCAGTGTTTGTTCTCCTCTGATTGTTTATAGTTTCTTTTGCATCTTGTGATTGTTGCTGTTTGCTATTTTCTTTTAGAGGCCTGCTGTGTCTTCTCATTTATCATTATTCATTCTTACTTGTTGACAGCTGTCGACAATGTTCGACACTCTGCAGAAGAGATGGATGACACTAGAAAAAGAAACATAGCATATGAGTATCTTTGCCATCTAGAAGAGGCTAAAGTGTCAGTATCTTGAATATGTCATCTTTCAACATGCTGAATCTTTTCTCTAACAGGTGTGATCTATGTTTTCAGATGGATGGAAGCTGTACTGGGAGAAAAGCTTCCTCCTGCAGCCCAACTCGAAGAAGGTCTCAGGAATGGAGTCTATCTAGCACGGTTGTCTCATATTCTCACTCCAGAGGAAGTTCCGTTGAACCGTATTTATGATCGTGAACAGAAACGCTACAAAATTGCTGGACTGCAGTTTCGTCACACTGACAACATTAATTACTGGATCAAGTCTTTGAAGTCAGCTAATTTGCCAAGAGTATGTTGTTATTAATTCTTGTTTGTTTTTTATTTTGCTTGGATGATCAGTGTATTGACTAATTGTTAACTCGTTGTGCTTCCTTTAGACTTTTCATCCAGAGACCACTGATGTGTATGACAAGAAAAATATGCCAAGGGTTATATATTGCATCCATGCTCTGAGCACTCATCTCTTCAAATTAGGCCTCACTCCAGCCATCCAGGACTTGTACGGCAAAGTTCAATTTTCTGGTAAGTTATCTTGCCTGATATGTTTATTAGATGATGACTACTTTACTTTCCTATGTTCTTGCACTTCTCCTTTCTTATCTCTTTGTTTTGCTCTCATTTTTCAGACAATGACATCCAAACTGTGCAGAAGGATTTGGAAAATGCTGGGGCACCGATGCCTGCTTTCCAAAGGATTGGTGGTCTGCTGTCTGGAAGCAGAGAAGTAGATGGGAGACCACTCCGCAAAGCCATTGAAGCTGTTGACAAAGCTATTGCCTTGAAGGTAGGACTCTTCTGTGAACTACTCAGTGGGACTCCCACTTCATAATATTTTTGTTGGTTTGCAATTTTATGGTCTTGTTTACGATTTACAGGATGTATCCATGCTTTACGAGAAACTTTCTAGCCCTTTGCTGTGCATAGATTGTTTGAATGTTGAACTCCTTGATGACTACATGGAAACTCTGATCAATGCTCGATCAACTAAAAGACAAGGAGCTCTTAATCGGTCTCTGAATGATAGTTGCGAGGCAGAGGACTTTGATGAGCTTTTGGACCAAGGGGAATTGCAAGGACACATTATCACAGTAAACCTTCGGGCAGCTCTTCGATATGTGCTTCAAGCAGCAGACAGAAAATTGTCCGACAAGATTGCACACTATCTACAAGCGCCAGCTTTCCAGTTGAAGAATGTTAATCTGAATAATGGCTCTGAATATGTTGAAGAGTTGAAAGTGTTATGTGGTTTGCGTGAAGCTGCTGATGGAAGAGATTGTATCGTGATAAGACAAAGGCTTCAACAGGCAGTTGATCAAGCAAATGCCAGATGCAACTCACTGAGAGATACGTCAAAAGCTTTATCAAGGATGAACAGAACCCTCGAAATCGGGAGCCTTAAAGACTTCAGTAATGCATTGCATGACCCTGCATTGCAACTGAACAGTTCTCTTCTGGATCCACATGCAATGCCATTGTACTTCTCTGAATTAAGCATTGACAAAGCTGAATCAGGAAAGTCCCTCACCTATCCAGAACTTGTGGGAAGTCTGAAAGTTCTCAACACTGTTGCACAAGTTACTCGGAGTGTGCACAGTGGTAGTGTGGAACAAACATGGAATGCTTTGAATAATCCTTCTCTTCGGTTTGCTGGTCTGGAACCAAATCTTAAAATTCAATATATGAACGCCCTCCGAGAAGCACTGGAAACAACGCCTGTTTTGGGCTATGCTGATATTCAAGGAGTGATTGATAATGTTGGAACTGAATCGGAACAACGGCTTCAAGTCATCTCTAGCCTCCAAGCTGTAAATGATGCTGTACGCTCGAACAAGGCTGACAAAGTTCTGAACGCCTTGCAGCATACTAGTACTAAGCTGTCGGAAAGCATTGCTGCTAGCGATGCGCCTCTTCTGCTCCTGTTGCTGAGAACTTGTTTGTATGAAAAGGAAAAGCAAGGTGGAGGAGAGTTATGGCTCTGTGATGTGGAGAATGCAGTCCATGATGTTGTGGCTGAGGTTCATGAGGCTCAGACAGCCTGCTTTGCTCTTGCCAGGCTCAATGTGTGTTTGAATGCTGGTGTAGAGGATTTGAGTGAGTGCATGGAGTGCCTTGCCAGTGCAGGTCTGGTTGAGTACGACAAAAGTAATGCCAGGATTTGGCACGACACACTGCACGAAAGACTGAGGAACAAGGTGAGTGCTTTCCTATCTCTGTACAAACTGACAAGTAATAACCCATAAAATTTCAGATATTGATAATTAGTGGATTGTTTTATGTTTCTTTTAGCACCGCCATAGGCATCATTCTTCTTGGATAGATCACACAACATCACATGGTCATACTGTGTACTTGAATATGGAATCCTACTTGTACTCATGGGAGCGTCCTGCAGACTTCCACCCCCAATCGCACTACCTTTCTCACAAAGATGTTCGCAGTGCACTTGGTGCTGGTGAACGCCTGGTTGCATTGCAGGCACGCTGTCGGGGATTTTTGGTCAGGAAGAACTTGTCTGACAGGAAGGAATATTGGAGGAAGCATGTAAAGGAGATTGTCCACATTCAGTCTTGGTGGAGAAGTGTTGTCCAGCAAAAGCAATATCAGGTTCAGCTGGAAAGTTTGAGAAAGGAGAGGGCAAGACAGGCCCAAAGGTAGGCATCATAATTTAAGGGACTTGGCTTCCTTACATATTACATTTCACTACAGGCTTATTATTTTTGTCTTGCATTTCAGGCGGGGACAAGGAATTTTGGATTACTATAGGCGTCATATTGGTGCTGTTGTACGCATTCAGGCCTTGTGGCGAGGACGACAGGCAAGGAAAGCCTTCTCTTCTCTTGTCCACCAAACAGATCCACCATTCAACATTGTGCGCTTGTTCGTGCCACTATTAGATTTCAACACTGATGACTATGAGAGGGAACTTGAACTCCAGGTATCAAACCTGTGCTCCAGTGAAGATATTTTTTTCTTATCCTACTTTATTAATTCACATAATTTTTTTTTGCAGTCTCTTCAAGGAGCAGTTGTCCAGAGGATTCGCCACAATCAAGAGCTAACAAGGCAAATTGATGCAATGGACATTAAAATTGGTCTCTTGGTCCAGAATAGAGTTACCCTGCAGGATGTAGTGGCTCATGGAAAGACTCTGAACAGCATTGCCAAAGGAAAAGACAAAGACAAGAGCAGTCCCAAAATGTCTTGTAAGTCTTATTAAAGTGATTGCTCAATGACATTGGTTGCAATTATTGAAAGCAATTTGTGTTTCAGCTAAAGCCCACTGCAATTTGAAGACTTTGACTCGGGAAGGACGCCGCCTCCTGGACGGTTACAAGCATTTATTTTACTCACTGCAGACAAATCCTACATACCTGGCTAGGCTGCTTTTCAGACTTCCGCAAAGCCGCAGTGTGAAATTTCTCCAAAATGTAATTTTATCCTTGTTTAACTTTGGTGCTAGCCAAAGGGAAGAATACCTGCTGCTAAAACTGTTCAGGACTGCTTTGATAGAAGAAATCAAGTAAGTTTGCCTTTAAATTGTATTTTCATTACTAAGCCAACTCATTTTCTTGTACTGACAGTAATCTATTAATCTTAAATTTTAGGTGCAAATGTGAAAAGCTGTCTGATGCTATTACTGGCAACCCAATGGTGCTTAAAATGGTGGTGAATTATGCAAGACAGCATTCTGGTCAAAATGCTTTGCGGACAATGGTTGGGCCCCTAATTGAACGAGTGAGTGCGAAGGTTGTTTAAGCTGACCTTAATTTGGTGTATTAGTGAAAAGTTTTAAAATCCTGTTCTATTTGTTTTTCAGGTGCTGAATGACAAGAATCTTTCAATTGAAACGAATCCTGTTGACATCTACAAATCCTGGAGAAATCAAATAGAAATGGAGACTGGGAAATCTTCGTAAGGATGTTACTTTTACTGTTTATTCAATGTATTTTCCTGCACATTGTCTTTAATATATTTTCATATTTAATTCCAGTGATTTACCTCACAATGTTACGCAAGCTGAGGCTCTCACCCATGCTGAGGTGCGCAAAAGGCTCAATGTTGGACTTCAGATGCTTCAGGCTGCTACCTTAGTATTTTTGCAAAGAATTTGTGATAGCAAAAACTTAATTCCTTATGGTCTTCTCTACATTGCCAAAACTCTCCGTCAAGGTCTTTTGGAAAGATTTCCTGGGACCCTGGAAAAAGATGTACTTAAGGTAGGATGATACTGTCTTTGTCATTGCAGCTTTGGTAATAATTATTTAATCACTTTTGTACCAATTAATTTTTTCTGTCTGTAAATCTTTAGATTATTGGCCACCTTGTTTACTATCAGTTGATAAACGCTGCTATAGTTGCTCCTGATGCATTTGATATTGTTACTTTACCTGCTGATCGTAACTTGTCCAATGAGCAACGCCGCAATCTGGCCAGTATTGCCAAGATCCTCCAGTTTGCCGCATCAAAGAAAGGGTTTGGCGAGGAGTCTACTCACCTCATGTGCCTCAATCCGTTCATTGTTGAATGTCACGAAAGGTTCAAGGACTTTTTCCGAAGATGCTGTGATGTTGAAGAGCTGGAAGACCATTTCAGTATCAACAGGTACTCTGAGGCAACTCTCATTCAGGATCCATGCATCTACATTACTCTTCAGGTAACATTCATTAGTCCCAGAGTTCATGTTCCTACCAGACTGTCCATTACATTCTCGTTTTGAATTGCAGGAAATTGTTGATACTCACAGTCTTCTTTTGCAATATGAGGACCAGCTTGCCCTGGACCCCATGGACCCTCTTCATGAGCTGCTTGAGGATTTAGGTGGTGTTCCGACAACAGCCCAACTGCTTTGCAGTGAGTCGGCCCACGCGGCCCCTCAGTTACTGCAAGCAGAGATTTGCCTGTCTCTTGTTGACAAGTTCCAGGTATGAGCCCAGAGTCTGTTCAGAGTGTTTACTTGGAAGGAACAAACTTGCAACTGCATTTTCTTACTGTGTAGGTGCCAGAGGAGGACACTACTGACCTCAGCAAGCTGTTTGTGAAAACTAAGGAGCTTCTTGTCCTGTTGTTACCTTTGCTGCAAGGTGATGATTTGGTAAAGGCCTTATCGGTGCCAGATACCCCTGCCCAGCAGTTCTTGCATGAGGAAAGGCTAAGGAGACGTGACCGTGACCAAAAGCAACTTGTTGCTCTGAACCGTACATTCAACACCGATTCATGGTAAATGCTTTGTTCTACTAGTTCTTGCCACCTTTCAACCTTTTTTTGATGCCATCTTAAGTGTCTGCTTTCTTGTTATTCCATTTAGCTGGTCACTCCGTGATTGCAAACAATTGTTACGGCGTTACCTTAGCCGCCTGGAACTTGCTGGTCTTGCTTCGTCAAGTAATGCTTATCAGTCGGTTGTCACGGCCATTGCCCAAGACTTGTGCCACAAAGGAATTTATCGTCAACAAAGAGCGAGGGAGTTGGTTTCACTCCGAAACACTATTGCCTCTCTGGATTCCAAAACCCTTGCTCTGCAGGAACAAGTTGATTTCTACAATGAATATATTCACCGATGTTTGGACAATTTAAATGCAGGAAAGAAGTAAGTTCTCTATTCTCTTTTCAAAAATATTTTTATATACTCAGAAGTTTGCTAAGGATGATGAATTTTCAGGAGTGTCCACGCACCAAAGGCAGATGGGAAAGTTCCTGGAAAATTGAAGTCCAAACTTACACTGAAGTACACAGGTGCTAAACTTCAAGAAAAAGGTGTGCTGCTTGAGGTGGAAGGATTACCTCAAACCCAACTGCGCAACGTTACCTTTGAAATTTCACCATCAGAAATTTCAGGCGTTTTCACAGTACGTGGAAAGTTCATGGGAGTTGAATTGGAAAAAGTTGATGTTGATATTCAGGTAAGTTTGCTTTTGAACATAAGTTTTATTTTGCTGTAAAATTGTGAACTCTATAGAATGGTCTTCCCTTTGCAGCATCTGCTGGAGCTACAATTTGAAGGATCCTCTGTAATGGATATGTTTGGCAAAGCCAAAGTAAATGTTAACCTGCTGCTGTTCTTGCTTAATCGGAAGTTTTATGGCAAAACATAGAACTAGGGTACTGTGTGCTCAGTATACTTGCGAAATGATCTGAATTTGAATGTTTGAACCATGACATGTGCTCTGTGCAGAATTGCCTGTAATCAATTCTGACTTAGCCAATTTTAGCTTAACAGTTTTGTTTTCTTATCTGACTTTGGATCACTGTTTAAATTACACAGACATCAATTTGTTGCAATTCTCTTTACCACTTGAGTGATACAGTAATCCAAAACATAAATGTGATCGCAATTTAGTTTTTATTATTGCCAAAGAATTATTTTCTAAATTTGTCACTGTTGGCATTTTTATGTGGAGAAGTAATCTGAATACTGTTGTGTCTGTTTCCCATCATTTACGCTGTAATAATAATTATTCCCCTTATGCACATTCCTCTGAACACGTGACTATTTTAATTTATTGTTATTAGGTGTACTAATGAACTAAGTTAACAAACTGATTGATGTTGCACTGATGCATAAGCACCAAGATAGATTACCATTCTTCTTTGGTCTATACCATTTTAATTTGAATGTACAGAGCTTTATCTAACATGTTTTATTAAATGTATTGTTCCATAAAAATTAGCCTTGTGTGTTCTTTCTGAATCCGACACAATTTCCTCCTGACTCAGTCCAAGGACAATGTCCTTTGCATAGATGCAATGCCTGAGAGAGCTGAATGAACATTGGGACCTGACAAAGTAAAGGAAATATTAAGCAAGTGTGTGGCAGACCTTTAATGGGCCTACACTGAAATATACAAGGTGGGCGAAAAAAATGAACTTATTCTTCAATGCAGTTCTCAGGCATTAAAAAGAAACAGGGTGGGTTGGTTAGTCAATACTCAACACTTCAAAATTCGCAAGGGGCAAAAAACAAAGGAGAGACCGCCTAAGAGGCGAGAAGGGGGAGCTAAACTGAAAGATTTGCACTTAAATGGCTTAATCTCGCCTAGTTCAAGTTCAAACGAAGTCTGTAAGTTCATTGCGATAGGGGAAAAGGGGCGGTCCTTAATCTGAGCGACCGGTGTTTTAAGGTGGAGGGGGGCGGGCTTGGGGTGAGTGGCAAGAAGTGCTTAGCAGTGCTCGGTCCCTGCCGTGGCGTCCGTGGGGGCGTTAGCCAGTCCAAGTAGAAAGACGCTGTAATAGGGCAGGGAGATACGCCAGCCCAGGAATCGGCAGTGTTGATGTTTCGGTACGGCCCCTCGTACGAGGGCCATGAAAATCTGCGGCCCCAAGCAGGCAGCAAGCGGCCGAGGGGAGGGTGGGGGAGCGAGGCTGTCACGCGCAGTGACGGGCCTGGTACAAACAAAATACCCCGCGCTTCGGCAAAGACAGCAAAAGGGCACCGAGGGAAAGCTACCGAGGGAAAGGAGACCCTGCCCATGAGAAACGGATCCCTAAACCAAGCAGGACGCTACGACGAACTTGAACTTGGCGAGGGGCGAAGGAGCCGGGGCGTGGGGACAGTGGCGGGGGCGGGCGGGGGCTGGAGGCGCGCCGGCCAGCCAATCAGAGCTCGAGGACCGGCGGGGGATGGGGCACGGGGGTTGCGCGGCCGGCTCGCCGCCAGCGACCGGCCCGGCCGGCGGAACCCCTCACGCTCAGTTTTGCCCAGAGTTGCGTCGGGAGCGGTCTTGCGACGTGCGGCGTGCGGAAAAGGAGATCAGGAAGACAAGCTGGTAGGGCTGCCCGTAGACCGAATACAAGACAATCCGTGTGCTCCACCAGCACCATGGTGCCGAAGCAGGAGCATGATGAAAACAACAACGACGTGGTGAGTGTCCTCAGTGTCCTGGTGCTTAACGGGGTGCAAGTGAGAGTGAGACAGAACCATCCGATGCCTCCCTTATCTGTCTTGATTACCCGTGCGCCGGCCGACTGCAGGCTGCACCGGTGGCCTTGGGCTTTCGCTCATGTCCTGTGCGTTATCGGCCGATTTCCCTCGCCGATTTGCCGGTACGCTGATTTGTGTTCGAAGCGTCTTGGCCGAGCCGGGGCCCGGGGGCGGTTGCACAGACGGGTTCGAGCAAGTTCCAGCGCGCCGCCCGGGGAGTGCGGATGCGGGGCGGCCGAGTGGAGTGTCTCTGTGGTAGGCAAAGTGCTTGGCGCGCGGGGCGGCGGCAGGCTGCAGGTGGAATGACGAGCCGGTAGCCGACTTGTCGGGGCTGGAAGACGCAAAGACGCAACACGGCGTACGTTTCTTATCTCTCTCGCTCCTGCGAGGCTGCAACAAGTGCCGGAAGGACAGTGTACAGCCCAGTACAGCCCTGCCCCGCCAGTGGAGTGTCTTGGCGTGCGTAGGCAACGCGCAGCGCCCCGAGCCGTGGCGGGCCTGTCTCTGCAGGCTGGTTCCGAGAGTCGTTTTCGTCGCTCTGTCTCTCTCGCACCCACTCGGGACGCCCTATGAGTGCGAGAGAGACCGAGCGACGAAAACGATTCTCGGAATCAGTGTGCTGTCGCTCTCGCAGGGCGTCCGTTCGGGGTGCGACAGAGGTAGCGGCGAGGTCCTGCGGGGATGGGGTGAAATTTGAACGCCGCGCCGATCGAATGTTCTCTTGAAACTTCTCCTTCGACGGGCGCTGCCGTGCTTTGCGTTCAGGTCCCCGTCGCCCCCGCCTCCTCCTGCCCAGCCGGGGTCGTCGCTGTCCTGTGCGCTTGCGCCACGCTTGCCGTGTGTGTGCGTGTGTGTGAGTGTGTTCAAACCCATCTTTACCCCCGCACGTCATTGCGACCTAGGCGATTACACACTCGTTGGAAGTTCTCCGCGCCCCTCCCCTACCCCTTCCATACTTTAATGCCCAACTTATTCCACGCCTCGCCCGCGGTTCTCGGAACGGAACCCGAGCGCCGATCGGGCGGCGCGGCGGCGCGTTGATGTCATTCGGGTGCATTCGGCTGCGTGGGCCGCGGGCCGCGTCCGCAGCGCCCAGGATCGGCCGGCCAGGACCTGCGCGATAAGTTTCCGAAAGCGCGAGTCGGCGATTCTCTAGCGGGCCCGGGGCCGACAGGGGGAACCACATCGGCGGCAACTCGTCGGCGACGTCCTAGCCTCCCCCACTCCACCGCCGGGCTTCTAGAAGGGCAAGCGCGCCATTCTCGCGGACGAGGCCCCGCCCGGTGGTCGGTCGCGCCGTGGTGCTGTGCGTTGTGTTGTTGTGTTGCGCTTCGCCCCTGCGTCGCCGACGCGGTCGCGCACCTGTGCCCTCGCCGTTCGCCCCGTCGCGCCGAAGATGGCCCCTCACGGCCTCGCGTGCCCCGCGTGCTGGCCGGGCCTGGACGCGCCCCCGGCCGGCCGAGGCACGGACAAGGCCGCGTGCACGTGCGAGGCGGCCGATGACGCAACCCAGGCCGTCGTCGAGGAGGTGGCCGAGGCCGTCGTCGAGGAGGTGGCCGAGGCCGTCGTCGAGGAGGTGGCCGAGGCCGTTTCCGAAGCCGGGGCTGCGGTCCAGGCCACGCCAGACGACGCGGCCGAGGCTGTCTTTGAGGCCATGCCCGTGGCCGGGGCTGTGTTCCAGGCCATGCCAGACGACGTGGCCGACGAGGCAGTGCCCGAGGCTGCGCTCAAGGCCGTGTCCGAAGACGCGGCCGTGGCGGAGTCAGTGCCCGCGGCCGTGTCCGAGGCCCTGCCCGATGACGTAACCGGCGTGTTGATACCCGAGGCCGTGGCGGCCCCCTGCGTGGAGGCCGTGCACGCCGCCCCCGCGCGGCGTCCTTGCCCCGCGGTCCGGCGTCGCAAGGCAGGCGGCGGCTTCGCGCGCGTGGCGTGCTCGGCGTGGAGGCCCAGCCTGCAGCCCATCCCCGAGCTGCAGCCCGAGTACCCCATCGCGGTTCTCTATTGGCCGGCCACTTCGCGCCCCCAGTCCCGGTGAGTGCAGCGCGTGCCACCCTGTCCGGTCCTCGCGGTGCCCTCGAATCACGTGACTTGCCCATGGATTGGCGACGCGGAGCGGCGTTGTCCTGGCCGTGTTTTCGAGTTTTCTTTTCCGAAGCGTGAATGAAAGATAAGACACACTACCGTCTCGTCTGCCTGCCGGGCCTGCCGGACAGCGGGCCTCCTGGGCGGCTTGCGGAAATATGAGTCAACGTCTCCGACGGAGTAGCCGAGAAAGTGCTTCCTCGGGCCAGGACTCCGCGGCGCAGCAGGCTGATTTGATTCCGACTCGGCGGGCAGGCTCCGGGCGAAAACCCTTCCGACACTGGTGCACTGTGGCACCTTGAGAGTGCGTACCCTTCTCTCAAGGTGGTGCTGTTCGCGAGGCCACGGCCAGTCGGCCAGTCCCCTGCGTGCCGCCCGCGGCGTGTGCCCTGCGCAGCCCTGCGCGTGTCCAGTGCGTCCCTCAGTCCCTCCCTTCCGAGAAACCTCCTTGTACAGTGCCGCTGCCGCCGCTGCGCCTGTCGGTATCTGTGCGGCGCGTACGGCGTGCCTAGAGGCGTGCCGTGCCGTGCCGCGTCTGGCCGTGCCGCCGCTGGCTGCCTCTGCCGCGGCAGACGTCTCATCTGCCCGCCCCGCGCGCCCCCAGTGCAGGCGCGGCGGCGCGGCAACTCGAAACCCCTGGAAGAGAAAAATACGGCCGTGTTTATACCCCCGTGCCTTGTCAGCCGGGGCGCGGCGGCAGGGTTGTCGCACAGTGGATTTGCCGGGAGACCGATGGAGGCGGCCAGAACTCAAGACGCGTTTTGAGCTCCAAAGTCGCTAAATGGGACTCTGGAGCTCAAATCACGTCCGGGATTTTGACCGCGTCCACCGGTCTTCTGGCTCACTGTGTTTCGCCGCGGCGGAGCGGAACGCCTGCGGGGTAGGCAGGCCCGCCACCCATCTGTGGCTACGAAGGCAATGTTGCCTACCCTGCCATACCATTACCATTACGGGCTAGGCCGCAACTGATAGTATGCCATTTCGGGGTTGATTCACCAGCACGCGCTGCCAGGAGCTTGAGAGACTGGACCACAATTAATGCAGGGACTCGCCTGTCGATGTGGAGCTCTCTCCGTCCTCAGCGCCGTCGCTACTCCGCGCGCGTGGTACTTCTTCTGGAAGTGCGCGGTGCAAAGATCGTCAACGGGTGGATCGCGTTGGATCGTGCTCGCCAACGTCGGCCCGGGTCGGTCCGGAGCCAAGCCCTGGCGGGCGTGGGCCGGCCGGCGACGGCCCAGCTTCGAGTCCCGCCAGAAGCCTGCGTTTTGTCGGTCTCTGGTACCCTTCAGGTTCTTGAAGGAACTCCACGGTATTTATGTGTGCCGTGAAATGTTAGCTGCGGTTGCAGCTCTGAAATCGCGAAAAAAAATTATTAGCGCCCCCGGCTCGAAGCTGGTCAACGGTTTGGGCCAAAACCGGCGCTCCGGTTTGGTTCGGAACCGACCCGAACCGACGTTCGGGAGCACGATCCATCGCGATCCACCCGTTGACGATCTTTGGCGCGGTGGGGTGGCATGTCCTCCTTGCAAACTTTGTGAGTTTTAACGGTGTGCTCGTTCTGTGTCCCTGCAGTACAGCATGGCGCCGTTGGCGAATGCTCTGCCTGCTCTGCCGGTGCAGAGCGGGCCAGTGGTGCACGCCGGCCGCCCCTACCCCGGCCCCTACGTCCAGAGCGCCGTGCACAACGAGCAGTACAACACCCAGCTGCGGCTGCTGAACCTCATCATCGACTCGGGCTACGACATGATCCAGTGCAACGGGCAGCGCCGCACCGGGCCGCCCAAGAACTGGAAGGGGCCGCCGCCCGGCAAGGGCTGCGAAATCTTCATTGGCAAGATCCCCAGGGACCTGTACGAGGACGAGCTGTTCCCTCTGCTGACCCAGTTCGGTGAGTGCGCTGCACGCGGTCGTAAGCACAGTGGACCAGAAGACTGGTGGAGGCGGCCGAAATCCTGAACGCGTTTTGAGCTCCAGAGTCGCTGAAGGGGACTCGAACCGAACGTGTGACCCCACCAATGGATTCCTCGTTCGGAGAGCAATCCATTGGTGGGGTCACACGCTCGGTTCGAGTCCCATTTAGCGACTCTGGAGCTCAACGCGCCTAGAATTTCTGCCTGCGCGTTTTCGACTCCTGGAACGCCCCGCCGTGACCTCGCTGTGACCTTTGCAGGCAAGCTGTACGAACTCCGCCTCATGATGGACTTCTCGGGGACCAATCGGGGCTTCGGCTTCGCCCAGTTCTCCACCCGGGAGGAGGCCAGGAACGCCGCCAAGAAGCTGGACGGGCACCCCATCCGGCCCGGCAAGTACCTGGGCGTCATGAAATCCCTGGACAACAGGCGGCTCTTCGTCGGGGGCCTCCCCAAGGAGAAGAACCGGGACGAGATCATGGAGGAGCTCTCCAAACTGGTGAGGGCGGGCGCCTGCAGTCGGCGGCATAGGCCACCCATCGTGCGGCCGTGTCGGCGTCTGGCTTGCCGCGCGGACTCCGGGCGCGAAGGTGGATGACAGTGTCTCCTTGTTCCAGGTGTCCGGGATCGTCAACGTGATCCTGTACTCTTCCGTGGTGGACAAGACGAAGAACAGGGGCTTCGCGTTCGTGGAGTTCGAGAGCCACCGCGTGGCGGCTATCGCCCGCAGGAAGATGATTCCCGGAGGCGTTGTCCTGTGGGACCACGAGCTGGCCGTGGACTGGGCCGAGCCGGAGCCCGAAGTGGCGGAGGACATCATGTCTAAGTCAGTGCTCCAGTCTGCGGTTTTCTTGCATCTCTCGTTGTCTTTGAACTGTTCAAAATCGCAACTTTCTTGCTTCCAGGTGAAAGTGCTGTACATGAGGAACCTCATGCTGCATACCTCTGAGTCAATGATTAAGGAGGTGATTGAGACTGTAGGACAAATTCCTAAGGCTGCCATTGAGAAAGTTAAGAAGCTGAAGGACTTTGCGTTCTTGCACTTCACTGATCGCCATTATGCAGAGCAAGCACTGCCGCGTCTCAACAGTTAGTCACTTTTAATTTATTTTGCCATATCCAAAGCTCACAGGTAGTTGAAACGGTCTTAATAACTTTCTCCCCCTTTGCATAGACATAGTCATCGAAGGTGCCACAGTTACAGTGGTGTGGGCGAAACCACCGAGGGACCGTGTGCAGGTGAAAGGGCGATCCCTGAGCCACGATAGCCTGACACACTCTGACGATGATGCCTCCCTCAACCATCATCGAGGAAGACCCATTTTGCCATGCGATCAAAGTGTCTCTCCTATGCATGTATTCCCTTCTCCTCACCCTTATTATGATGTGAGTCAACGTTCGACATCTTACAAAGCATCTGTTCTTTAAATCCCTTCTGACTTTACTGATTTTTTGTGCTTTGTTTACAGACTCTAGTTTTGCTCTCTGGCCAGGCTGAACCTAAGGTTGACATTACGTCTTGGACTTCCCCTACTAATGGGGATAGTCTTATGTTCTTGGCTAGGGTGAGCGCTTAGTTAGATTGTTATTTTAGTTGCAATTGTTTATTTTCTTCTACAAGTATATTTGATTAGTTTTTCAGAACTATTTATAATTTTTTCAAGTCTAACTTTTTTTAAGTTTTTAATTTGCTTTTTTATTAATCATGTGCCACATTTATTGTATTTGATTGTACAATCAGTTTTGATTTTTTGACCATAGAGATTTTTCCCTGTTAAGATTTATTTTTCTCCCTTCACATTGTCTCATGTTTACTACCTTAGTATATACTGAAGAGCATGGCCAGAAGAGGAGTTCCTTCAAGAATAAAAGAGTCATCATCTACAGCTTCGAGATTTATTTTTGTTTCATTTTAAGTTTTATCTGTTCAAAGAATTTTCTCAATAGACTTATTAAACAATCAGTTTGTAACTTCAATCATAAATACATTTGATTAGCTATTCAGAGTCTAAGCTGTGCAACAATCAGTTAGTAACTTATCAATTAAAGTAGCTTCAAAGTTAAAGCTGTGCTACGAAGACACCATCTACTGGACAGAAGACAAATTTCATCAGCTTGGTGAGTGCCTTTCTAAAAGAGGTAACATCAGTTTTTATCATTCAGGGAGATTCCTTTTTTATCGTCAATTATGATCAACAGTCAAATCTAACTTCACTGCAACATCAAGATTGTAGTATTTCCTTTATCTTGAGCTTTGCCTTGTACTCAATGTAATATTGGTTTTACATATTTGAAATCGAATCAGTTTCACTTATTTTGAAGTTTCAATAGTAGTCTTCTGCACTCACCATCAAGATGCACCTTCAGCCAATTCAAGAGGACCTACACTGGAGTGGCCATCCTGTCAAATTTTATCGCTTTTGGCGTTGCTGAATTTATTTTAGCTGCCACATTCATACCAAATTCAAAACTAAATGCATTTGAAGTACTCATTCTTTCATTCAACAATAAAGATGAAAATTCAAAGATAGTTTTAAGTTCTTAGCAGCTTTATTTTTCAGTATATTGTCTTGTTTGAGTTATGCACCATTATTGAGGTATCACTGTTGTACAATTTATGTTCTGTTTTCATACAGCTCACAGTCCCCTTTGTGCAGCCGCCATACAACATGTTCACGGGGAATTATGCTCCTACTCCCCAAGGTGCCCTGAATTCTGCTGCGGAGTGTGTCATTGCTTGGCTGTCTAGGAATGGTAGGAACGTCTCGATGTCAAATTCCACTGACAGATTGTCCATATACAGAGAGTTAAATTTTTTTGTTGGTTGCAGGTGTACCTAGCACTCCTTGTGTGACTCAGGCTGTCAATTACTACTGCCCCCAGACACCAAGCCCCCTCCACTTCCAGGGGAATCACTAGACAACAGCTATGGCCGTAGTGTGAAGAGTTTTGACTGATGCTCACTCACTTGTTCCTTATTTTTCCAATTTGATAATTTTGTATTGAAACTATTGTATTTTATTATTTATTTCAGGCATGTGTTTCTCAGCACATGTCAGTGCCTTATTTGTAGGCTTTTGCATTTTATCTTGGTCAACAAGATGTTGGCAAAATAACTTAAGTTATTACATCTCAATTTACCTGTATTTTAGTACTTATTGTATTTTATGCTCCCTTTAATATTTGTATTCACAAATTTTTTACATTTTAAAGTTCTTCATGCATTTGTGGCTTTGACAATTCGCACATCACTATTTGTCAGGTTTCTCCTCGAAATTGTATGTCATTTTAATTTGTTGGGCATGTTAGGATTTTATAGCTTCAAAATTACAGCTCTTAATGTTTTCAAATGTGTTTTGGATCCAATAAGAACCAAGGATTTCCATTTGTTTGCTTTACTTTACCCATCCTTACTCAATCAATAGTCTTATAAGTTAAATTTATTAATTTGGTTGAAGCATTTACACTAATAGACACACAGTGAACAATAAAACCTCTTCTCAAACAGTCACAATCTACAGCTAAGTCAATACTTAAAACAAAATGACAATGATGAGAAATAATGTACAGGGTTTGTATAGGCGATGAAGTCGATCAGATGATGCTATGTACAACGCACGGTCTGGTTCACACTGCCGCCGGCGACGGGAACACGATGTGGGTGTAGCTCTTGTTGAGGGTGGCGCGGAGCTCGTTGGCGTGCTCCTTGTCCCTCGTCTCGCAGGTGACCGTCACGGACACGCTGAAACGTCGGACGCGATCCACGCCCGCTCGTGCTCGATGTCCTTGATGGAGACGCCCAGCCTGGCCAGCTGCGCGCACAGCTCGGCGATGCCGCCCGGCCGGTCGCTCACCGTCACGGAGAACTTGATGAGGCGCCCGTCGACGGCCAGCCCGCGCTCCAGACACCGGCCCAGCACTGTCGTGTCGATGTTGCCGCCGCACAGCAGCAGCACCAGCCTGGAGGCGAAGAACACCACTTAAGAGCCATCGTTCAAGAGGCGCACAGTGGGTGTCAGAAAACCGGTGGGGGCGGACAAAATTCAAGACGAGTTTTGAGCTCCAGGGTCTCTGAGCAGGACTCGAACCGAACGTGTGACCCCACCAATGAATTCCTCGTTCGGAGAGCAATCCATTGGTGGGGTCACACGTTCGGTCCGAGCCCCATAAGGCGACTCTGGAGCTCAAAACTCGTCTGGAGTTTTGGCCGCCTCCGGCAGGGGCGGGGCCAGGCGACTTACTTCTTCCCCTTGTAGTCGTCGAGCTGCCCCTCGAGGATGGCGGCCAGCCCGCACGCCGCGGCGCCCTCCACCACGCACTTCTCGAGCTCCACCAGGCGCAGAATGGACACGGCCACCACCTCCTCCTTCACCACGACCTGCGCAACCAACAGTCTGTGGATAAGTTTTGTCCTGGAAACTGATTCCGAGAGCCGTTGCTCTGTCTGTCTCGCACTCACGAGGAGGCCAGCATAGGTGCGAGAGAGACTGAGGCCCGGACTCACCATCCTGTCGACGAGGGGCGCCGCGGTGACGAAGGCGTTGTAGCCCACCGTGGGCACGGCCAGGCCGTCCGCGATGGTGGGGCCGTTGGCCACGGGCACCGGCTTGCCCGCCTTCAAGGCGGCCGAGAAGCTGGCGCAGCGCTCCGACTCGACGCCCTGGTGGCAGAGAGACCGTCAACGCCGAGCCCGCGCACAGTGGGCCAGACGACCGGCGGAGGCGGCCAAAACTCTAGACACGTTTTGAGCTCCAGAGTCGCTAAATGGGACTCGAACCGTGCGTGTGACCCCACCAATGGACTCCTCATGCGGAGAGCAATCCATTGGTGGGGTCACACGTTCGATTCGAGTCGCGGCTCAAAACGCGTCCGGGATTTTGACCGCCTCGCACGTCCGCCACTTGATGCTTACGATAATCTCCACGTTGGGCCGCATGGACTTGACGGCGGTGGCGATGCCCGCGATGAGGCCGCCGCCGCCCACGGGCACCACGATGGCGTCCACGTCGGGGACCTGCTCCAGGATCTCGAGGCCCAGCGTGCCCTGGCCCGCCATGATGTGCGGGTGGTCGTAGCCGTTGATGTAGGCGAGCTGCTCCTCGCGCGCCATGCGCATGGCGATGGCCTTGGCCTCGGCCATGTCCTGGCCCTGCACCACCACGGTGGCGCCGTGCTGGCGGCAGCACTGGATCTTCATCATGGGCGCCACCAGCGGCATCACCACGGTCACGGAGATGCCCAGCAGCTTGCCGTGGTACGACAGCGCCAGCGCGTGGTTGCCCAGCGACGCCGAGATGACGCCGCGCGCCTTCTGCGACGCCGGCAGTTCCATCAGCGCGTACCGCGCGCCCCGCTCCTTAAAGCTGCGGCAGAGCAACGGGCAAGGGTTCAACTACCACCGCCCCCACACACTTCTCCGGCCTTTCACGCTTGCCAGACCGCTGCACAGTGACGCTGCGAGCGACGGTGTACCTACCTCCCGGTGAACTGCAGGAAGTCTTGCTTGAGGTAGATGTCCATCCCCGTGAGGCCGGACAGGTGCGACAACTGCAGAGGAACATGACAGTTGTCAGACAATCAGGAGGCGCGGCGCCGTACCCAAGACCGCGCCGCGGAACCACGCGAGGTCCCATCGGCCCAGAAGGGGGGTGTCAACGCAAAGCTGCCGGTCAGCCCACGCCCCACTGTCCGTGCACCGCATCTCGGTATATCACCGGCGTGCAGCGCGTTTTACATGATGTAACATCACGCCCCGTTCGCGCAGTGCACACGCGGCGCAGGGAGGGAAGTCCGAGCCGCCAACTGCCGCGGCGTGCCGCCCACCGTTTGGCCATTCGGCAGCCAAAGGCAGCCAGAGCGACGCGACATTATCAAAGCATCGCGCCAGCCGCGCGATCCCGATCCGTCGCTCTGCCTCTCTCGCACGCTCTCGCACCGCACGGTCCGCACGGGGCTCTCCACGAGTGCGAGAGAGACAGCGCAGACAGCCTGGGGCTTATCGTGGTCACCGCTCCCTTAATGAGTGTCGTCTCGGACCGTCCGCCCCGCCGGCCAGTGAGAGCGAGAGAGACAGAGGACCAGACGAATTAATTGGGTCATGGCACGCTGCCTCTTTCTCGTGTGCTCTATTTCGGTGTCTTTCTTTTCGGCACGGCCGTCAGGAAAAAAGGCACAGGCTCCAAATTCGCAAAAAGAAAAACTCTGCAACTCACCATGCAGGGCGTGCTGAGGACGCCGCCCTTGATCTTGAAGGCCGCCGACGTCACGTCCTCGAACTGGAGGCGCGTGGGGTTGTCCGCGTCGCACATGGGGTCCTTGCCGTCCATCGTGATCTCTCCTTTGTAGGCTTCTGGAAAGAGAGAGACAGGACAGAGTGAGCATCGACGCCCGAGTCAATTTCCGCGCTGTTGTGGCTTTCTTTCTTGGTCGTTGTTAGGGTTACCGTTTTTCAGTCCGTTGGTGCCGTTTTTCAACGTTTTGATGGGAGCTGGGGCGCGGCCGTTTGTGCTGCCGTTGGCGTGTCTGTTAGTGTTTCCGTTAGTGCTGCCGTTAGTGATGCCGTTGGCCTGGCCGTTAGTGCTGCCGTTGGCCTGTCCGCTAGTGCTGCCGTTAGTGATGCCGTTGGCCTGGCCGTTAGTGCTGCCGTTGGCCTGTGCACTAGTGCTGCCGTTAGTGATACCGTTGGCCTGGCCGTTAGTACTGCCGTTAGCCTGTGCACTAGTGCTGCCGTTGGCCTGTCCACTAGTGCTGCCGTTAGTGATGCCGTTGGCCTGTCCACTAGTGCTGCCGTTAGTGATGCCGTTGGCCTGTCCACTAGTGCTGCCGTTAGTGATGCCGTTGGCCTGTCCACTAGTGCTGCCGTTAGTGATGCCGTTGGCCTGTCCACTAGTGCTGCCGTTAGTGATGCCGTTGGCCTTGGCGACTCCGTTAGTGTTGGCGTGTCCGTTAGTGGCGCCCGCTTCCGCGACGGTCGCTCCCTTGTCCTTCATGGCTCTCTTTAGAACGGCGGCGCTCTCGGCTGAGCGCGCGAGGGCGGGTTTCTAGAGACAGAAGAAAACAGACAAGGAGACGTAAGAATTGGGAAGATTCTTAGTCAGACGGACTGCCCTAAAACGTGTGAAATGACCGTGTTGATAAGACGCGGCTAGACTTGGCGCTTATCACAAAAGGGCTTTATCAGCGTCACACGATCGAGTGGTGGACACAAGGGGTGCAAATATTGGAGCAGCGCCACTGTTTTTTCCCTGATGCGTGAGGGGAGGGGGTAAATACGGGATTGCTCAGTGTCTGCGGCCTGCTAGTACTCGTTGAGGTCACTGACTCGTTCAACGAGATAAATTTCCCCTTTCAGACTTACTTGCAACAAAATAACGAATTTTTTTCCACAACACTTTGCAAATGAGCCACTTTAAACCAACTTGCTAGTTGTTTCCTACAGCCTCTCCAACCATTTCTATCACAGGATATTTTCGTGGTTTCCCCAACTCACGTCGCAACGGTCAAACTCGTTCAAAATAATCGTCCTGTTTTTGCCTGAACACGCCGATGTCATTGTTTAGGCCAAGATGCGCGCATCTTGCGGTGTGCACTCCGACGACGCCACCCTCGCAGGAAAACCCGCAGTGTTTACAAGCTCGCACAGAGGGCCAGAAGACCGGTGGAGGCGGCCAAAACTGTAAGCAAGCTTTGAGCTCCAGAGTCGCCAAGCAGGCCTTGAACTGCGTGCATGACCCCACCAATGGATTCCTCGTTCGGAGAGCAATCCATTGGTGGGGTCACACGTTCGGTCCGAGTCCCATTCAGCGACTCTGGAGCTCAAAACGCGTCTGGAGTTGTGGCCGCCTCCACCGGCCTTCTGGCCCACTGTGCGACGCCCGTCGTAGCTCACCTGTGTGTCGGGGACGTTCTCGGGGACGTTGGCGTCGGTGGCTGCTCCGGCGTAGACCATTCGCGTCGCTCGAGTCCGTCGGGGTCCGTCTCTGGCGGTCACTGGTCCGTCTCCGTCACTGACCGGTGGGCTGCTGTCGCTTGCTGCCGCTCGCTGTCGCTGCAGTGGACTGGCCTGGGGTGCTGTCGGTGCCGCCGTGCCGCCGCCTGGACCCGGCGTGCTGTGCGGACGGCACGGTCGGCACACGCTGCAGCCCTTGCCACGCCGTCTCTCTCGCACTCACGGGCCGGCCCGCAGAGGAGCGAGAGAGACTGAGCGAGTCTGCAGTGGTTGGCAGTGGTCTCGCTGCGCGGGCTGCGCGCTGAACTCCGACCCGCCCGCCGCTATCGCCGCCACGGCGTGGTCGTCTGTCCTGCGGACCCGCTGGGGACCCTGGGGACCCGCCCTAAACCACCGCCAACCACCGCCAACCGGCCAGCCGACGAGCGTGGCGTGACGAACGTGTGACGAACGTGACGAGCATGGCGTGACGAGCGTGACAACCGCACCATGACTTCGCGTGACGTGTTCAGGGCGCCCCGCCCCTAGGTGCTGTCGGCAAGCACGTGGTGCGCGGCCTCGCCTGTCTACGCCTATCTCCCTCCCTCACCGGATTGGCCAGCCAGTGCTGCCACACTGCCACACCCCCGGAGCAGATAACGACTCGCTGGCCGCCTGATCAGTGCTGATCAGGGCGCCGGCCAGATCCGAGACATCCGACAGCAGCCGAGCCGGCCTGAGTCATCCCTGGCGACGCTGGCGACCACGAGTGGCAAGTCACCAAGTCACATGTGGTGCAGTCCAGCCCCTCAAGGGCTGCCCGTCACTACACTGGTGCATCGAGGGGAAATTTTGCCCACTTGTTTTGCAGCTCTGCCCCTCCTAGCGGTCGGACATACACCAAGGGAGGATCCAGACAAGGGTTCAGAAAGGGGGAGGGGGGAAATCCTCAGCTGACGTAAGTGGTTAGTTTTGTACCAGTTATTTTCGTCGAAAGAGAGGTACGAACTATTCAGTTTTAAACATTTTTCGACAAGAAAGAAAAGTGAAATGGCAAGGAGATCGCTGCTCTAATCGCCAGCTGCGCTAATCAGTAGCAGACACGCCGTTTAGCTATCTATCCATCTGCTTCAATGTCGCGCCTCTACATTATGACATCGGAAATGGGAAAAAAAGAGTCGCAGAAGAAAAGCAGCCTGGCCGAGTTGCTTCTTCTTCTTATTATTATTCATTTGGACTACTGCACTGTCATGGATTGCCAGTATGGTTAAATCATCGGAAAATGCAGGCGGCCTCTCTCTCCTCTCTTTTGTAGGGCAAAAATAGCATCGAAATTGACCCACCTACATGCCGCACGCGCCATGCCGAAGCGGCGCCGCTGTGACGTGACGACGTGACGGAATGGCCCGAGTCTGCTTCCGATCGTTCCGATCCGTGACCGCGGTGCGCGATCTCTGCTCCGTCAATGTTTACCACTTAACGCGACGCGTCGCGATAGTCTGTGTAATAATAATAATGTACATTGTGCCGATCGCGCATGGCGGCAAGGCGCGGCATGGCGGCCGTGAACCACAGTTGTTTGCCGCACCCTTTGGACCGCGGTCCACGGGGCGGCACGACGGGGACGGGAGGTACAGCTAGGGCGCACCCCCGCGACTTGCCGCCCACGCAGCGGGAAAAACCAGACGACGACAAAAACAAAAAAAACAACCAGAGCAACAACGACGACGAAAAGGTCGGCTGGGCGCGTTTTGAGCTGCAGAGTCGCTAAATGGGACTCGAACCGAACGTGTGACCCCACCAATGGATTGCTCTCCGAACGAGGAATCCATTGGTGGGGTCACACGATCGCTTCGAGTCTCATTTAGCGACTCTGGAGCTCAAAACGCGTCTAGAGTTTTGGCCGCCTCCACCGGTCTTCTGGCCCACTGTGCGGGGCGTGTAGCTTCGCGGTAGCTTCCCCAGCCGCCCCTTGCTCGCCCAGCTGCAGTGCATGCAGTGCACTGTGCAGCCTCACAAACACGGGTCGCTTCCTCCAGCCCCGCCGTGCCGTGCCGCGCCGTGCCGCGCTGCCCCCGGGGAAGTCCCGTTGTCGCCATGAGGAAGCCGAGCGGCAGAATTAGGGCGTCTCTCATTTTATTTATTTGTCCGCTTCGCCTCGCCTGTTTGTCTGGAAGTCTTCGGGGCGCGACTGGTGAAGCGGCACGGGACTCGGCACGGCTCGACTCCGAGTCGGCGCGCGAAATAGCAGTGGCCAGTGGAAGTGGAAGATTTGCCACCCGATTGCCGGTCCACTGGAAAATCAGTTGGGCTCGGCCAGGCTCGGCGCGCGCCGGCCAACAAGATAAGGAGACGGGGCGGCCGCCCGGCTCGCCGCCCAGCCGGACGGGTGCACCTTGCAGGTAAACACGGTCGGGAGCGCGGCAGCCAAACAACGACAGGGGGAGGTCTTTCGGCCCGGCTGCACACTGATTCCGAGAGTCGCTCTGTCTCTCTCGCACCCATGAGACGACTCTCTGCTGGCCGGCTTGCCTTTCGGGCCGCGTGCCGCATCAGTATTCGCGCGCATCACGCGTCAAGGCCACGGCACGGGCGTGCCGCGTGCCGCCACGCGTGCTCACACTGTAGCTAATGCTATCGGCCACCGTCGGAGGGAGATCTTTGATCGCTCTGTCTGTCTTTCATTCATCTTCAGGGTGGCCGGGGGCGGGCCCGAAAGCCAGACGATCATTTGTGGTCCAGGCATTAATTAATTAATTAATCGCAATCGCAATCGCCTGCGGCTTAGGCAAGCCCGTCGCGCCGCCGTGCGCCTCACTGCAGCTGGTTGCCTACCTCACCATTGCCATTACCATTACGGGCTAGGCCGCAACAGAGGGGGAGACGAGTCCTGGCTAGCGTCTTGGCTGGCGTCTGTCTTCTCGTGGGTTTGAGCCGACAAAATTCGGCCCGTTTAAATTTGGAAAGCAGGCGAGCCGTTCAAAATGCTGCGTTCAATTGACGATTTTTTGTTTTTGTTTTCCAACGTTGGCCCTAATTGTGGAAGGCCTTGCCGACAGGTTGGCGGGTCGCTGCGTTATCTGGAGGCGATAGCGCAGCGACGCCGTCGCCTTTCCGGGCCTCGCAGTCCAGAGAGGCACCTAAAGACGGGGACCGTAGCGACCGCCAGCCGCCACGCGGTGACACTGCAGGACGAGCGCCGCCACCTGCGAGGCCCCGAGGCCCCAGAGGCCCGCGACGCACGTGCGCGTCGCCCAGTCGCCCGACGCCACCAGGACGTCAATGGCAGGCGGCTGGGCACGCGATAAGGACAACTCTTCCATTAATTTTACTGTTGGCTCTTCGATGGAACTCTTTTGAAAATTTTTAATCAGTTTATTTTTTGAAAGTTTTGGCTTTTAAATGCTCTTTGCAACGGCGCGCTCCGGCTATCGCCCGTGATCTGGAGCTGGTCACGGACGGACAGAGCGCACAGTGGGTCAGAAGACCGGCGCAGGCGGCCAAAACTCCAGACGCGCTTTGAGCTCCAGAGTCGCTAAATGGGAGTCGAACCGAACGTGTGACCCCACCAATGGACTCCTCGTTCAGAGAGCAATCCATGGGTGGGGTCACACGTTCGGTTCGAGTCCGCTTTAGCGACTCTGAGCTCAAAACGCGTCTAGAGTTTTGTCCGCCTCCACCGGTCGTCTGGCCCACTGTGCGCGGCGCGGCGGTGGACGTCGTGGGGGGCGTCGCGTGGCGGCGCGGCGGCAAGGTTCCGCGCTCCGCGGTGGATGGCGGGCGGCGGGTTCAGTCGCGGCCAGTGCCGCCAGCGTGTTGCCGTGCTGGTTGCTTTGCGCCGCTTTGCGCGCTTCCAAAACAATCCGTACCAGTGGCGTGGCGTCGGACCGGTCCCGCTCCAACCAACCCAGCGCGGGCCCCTCGGGTGAGTAGCACAGCAATCCATCTCTCTGGCCTGGCAACGGATCAAAACTTGTGGGCATTTAATTTATGAGTGTTCGATTTGGTGTCGGAGTAACGCCCGCCGCTTCGGCGGTTAGGGTCGTGGAGTCTAGTGACCCAGATTTACCAGTGGCGTGCCTTTAACTCACTTGAGAGCACTAGGGGGAAGTCCAGAGCCCACTTGCACGCGCCCCGCCCGGCCCCGTCGCACAGTGCATTAGCATTAAACAGCTCCATTTTTTCTGAGCATCGCTCTGAGCGTGAGTGGTCTTCTGGATGACGGCAGCGGACGTCACTGCGACCACCAAATGAACGGCAGCCACTGTCAAAATACGAAATCAACGGTGAAAGGCTGTTATAGCGTGCGTGCTCTCTTCGCTGTCTCTGTCGCACCGGCACGGGCCGCCCCGCGAGTGCGAGAGAGACAGCGCGGTGCGGTCCAGCCAGGATGTCGCGTGCACCCCGGCCGCTATCTGCAGGCCGGCTCCGAGCATGCTCGTCGCTCTGTCTCTCTCGCACCCTGACGTACCGCCCCGCGAGCGCGAGAGAGAGCAACGAAAGCACACTCGGGATCGGGCTGCTGGCCTGCTCTCTCTGCCCTCGCGTTCGGAAAGGACGCTTGAATGCCGTTGAATGCAAGGATCGGCGAAAACGAAAAGTAGAGCGGCTGCCTTTGTCGCGTTGGCGTTGGTGCTTTCCTTTGTTTTCCCACTGCACAGTGTGCCAGAAGGCCGGTGGAGGCGGCCAAAGCTCCAGGCGCGTTTTGAGCTCCGGAGTCGCTAAACAGGACTCGAACCGAACGTGTGACCCCACCAATGGTTTGCTCTCCGTACGAGGAATCAATCGGTGGGGTCACACGTTCGGTTCGTCGAGTCCCATTCAGCGACTCTGGAGCTCAAAACGCGTCTAGAGTTTTGGCCGCCTCCACCGGTCGTCTGGCCCACAGTGCACTGTTTCGCACTCCGCCGCGATTTTCCTGTGCTTTTCCGACGGACCGGACACGCGTGTTCGCCGCGGTGAAGGCGTCCCTTGTCTTCCCTCATCGCCTTGCCTTGTCTTTCCTTGTCTTTCGACGACAATGGTGCCCGTTCTCGTCACGTGCACGTGTATGGCCGCGAAGTGGTGGGCACACGAGACTGCGACAACGGTCGATCGTCTGAAAATACTGCAGGTGTGCAGGTGACCCTTGAAACTGAATCGCGCATCTCAGAACGCTTATCGGTGAAACAGCACCATCCGTCGTGTGCACGCTCGAGCGCCTGCAAGGTAGGCCACAGGCCCGGCCCGTCAGACACCGGTGAAGAGACGGTGGCCTACCTTGCCCCTGATGCCTCCACGGCGCAAGGTAGGCCACCGTCTCTTCACCGGTGTCCTCCAGAACGGGCCCGTGGCCTACCCCACAGGCGCTAAAAGTCAAAATTTCTCTTTATTTTCTTTCTCTCAGTAGATTTGTTGTCATCCAAGGACAGTCGCTTGGAGTCCGTCGAAACTCAGCCGGCACTCAGTGAGGCCGTCGAAACCAAACCGGGGCAAAGAAACAAAACTGCAGAAAACAAGAACCCGGGCCACGGCCGCCACGGCCACGACGCGGAAATGATACGAAATAAAATCTAAAACAAACGGGAGGAGGGGAGGGGAGGGGGCGAACAGCTGTGAAAGGGGCGGGGCGGTGAGGGGAGGGGATAGGCCAGCAGTCTGGTGGTGGAGGGGGTAGCACGCAGCAGCAGAAGCACCAAAACAGCTGTGTTGCGATGTAAATAGAGTAAAAGAGTCACTCTGGCGCACTTCTCAAGCCGAACGAGCTGATATCATGAAAGACAAAGTGTCTTACTGGATGGAAGGGACTACCAGGAGACTCAAGGGGTTTCTCTAAAGGTGAGAATCGGTTTGCTATCGCGCTGACTGCTCAGTGAGGCCCCCTCTAACCTCGGGGCTGCCACTGTCAGAACAAAGGAAGCAACTCGTCTGGGGTGAATCACCCACCAGCACGAGTCCAGTACCGTTTGTCAGCTGGGCGATGCGGTCCAGGTGTTTTCAAGAGCGGTATTATGAGACAGTACTTTAGAACTTAGTTCACTCTGTTAGGGGCTTTCTCGTCCTGTGACAAGTTTAAGCTGTTGTGTAGAAACCTTTATCTCAGGATTCTATATTCTATTTGTTCTCTTTGTTTCCAAATTTATTCAGTGGTATGTGTGTGTAGTCCTGACAATTTCATTTTACCGTTACAGGGAGGTGACGCATAAAGTCTGCTGAGTGTCGTGGCAAAAAATTGACTGACAATGTGGAAACATTTGGAGGCAGGCAGCTCGCCTGTGGATTGGTGTGAGGGAAATTACCTCATATCACCCCTCATTGCTGAATTTGTGAACACGGTAAGTACACGTTATTACATTTCCACGCATTTCCATGAGCATCTTATGCTCAATTTGCTAATTTTTTGAAAAACCATTTACAGTTCAGCAATGTGTTATTCTTCCTGATGCCACCGGTGCTGATGCACTTGTTCCGAGATTATGGCCGCTTTGTGAACCCAGCAATTCATGGGATCTGGGCCATGCTGATGGTTGTCGGAGCCAGTTCTGCATACTTCCATGCCACACTGTCCCTCATTGGTCAACTGCTCGATGAGTGTGCCATTCTGTGGGTCATCCTTGCAGGGTTTACATTGTTTCTACCCAGGCGCCATTTTCCTCTGGTGGTGCAAAATGACAGGTATTGATACGTTTTTGTGTGTTCATTACGGTTTCTATGCTCATCATAAAATTATTCACTAATTCTTTATTGTCTGTGGATTTAGGAAGAAACTCAGTTTAGTTTTCCTGATTTTTGGTGTCTTTGCCACTGGCTTGGCCCTGGTGCATCCAGCCATTAATGCTTTTGTGCTGATGGTTCTGGGTATACCAGCTCTTTTCTTCATGGTTTTGGAGCTACGAAGGTGGGTGTGAATTTTTTCGAAAGTGCAGCTTGTGTGTTGTGTCTGTCAGTTTAGCTTATAGTATCGTTTTATTTCAGGGTGAAAGATGGGCGAGTCTATCGTCTTGGAGTTCGCTGCTGTGCTGTATGGTTGCTGTCAGTTAGCTGCTGGATAAATGACCGTCTGTTTTGTGAAGCTTGGTCCTCCATCAACTTCCCATATTTACACGGACTGTGGCATATTCTGATATTTATTGCTTCATACACTGTATGTGTATTATTTGCATACTTTTCTGTCAGTGATGAGAAACCATTGCGGAAACCTCTCTTGAGGTACTGGCCAAGCAACAATTTTGAACTTGGTATCCCTTACGTTGCCATTCAAGATAGGGATAGTGGCAATGAGTACTGGAAAGAGAAAGATGTCTATGCTTGATTTTCTGTCAGAAAGTTAATGCATATGCCTCAAAGAAACAAGCAAAAATTCAGTTAACATATGCTTGAGTTGTAAGCGGCCATGTTACCAGTGCCTTTCCATCAATGGAGTATTATATGAAGTATTACAAGATGCTATACCAAATCTTGAGTTAAACGCACACTTGCTAAAAATTGTGATAAGTTGTAAAAACAAGTATTGCAGGTGCATATCTTCTGCTATCTGTTTTCCATCCCCTATATTACTTTTTCCAGTTTCCACTCTAGAATACCAAATCTTAAGTTAGATCTGATTAGTTCCACCACCACTTCCTTTAGATGGAACAAGGTATTGTACTGTGTTATTTTATCCAAATGTTTAGTGATATAGTATAGTCTCTACATTCTTTCAGTGATAAAAATGTTTGTTAAAAAAAAAACATAGGCCATTTTAATTTTAGAATGAACATACCTATTCTATATTATTCATGACATTGTAACTGTCTATATTTTTTATGTTACTATATTGTTAATTTGTTTGCTTGTGATTTTTATACAATTGTGAAATTAGAAGAGTCATTAGTTGCTGTGTATTTATGTTTGTGCATTTTGTGTTATTATCTACCTATTATTTTTTTATCTCATTGATTTGTAATTTTGTTTCCCTTTTTATCTGTATGAACAATTTTTTTCAGTTTGAAGAATCCCACCACTGACTTGAATTTTAACGGTATCTGTCACTTTTGTGTACAGGAGATCATGTTGGTTTATGCACAGTGGAGCAGGTTTCATAAGTTCTGGTCCTTTTCTTTGTTTGCTGCACTAAGGAGTTTCTGCCACATCCATAGATGTGTACTGGCTTCTGCAATGGTTCTGGCAAAGGAGACATTTTAATGAAAAAATGAGGTGGAAGTAATTTGTGAAATGTTTAAAGCGGGCTCCACTCTAATTTTATTTACATAACTGTGTGTGCCAATCAATGATGAAACTGGTGCAGGGACAAATAAAAATTGAAAATATTTTTGTCTCTCTGGAATTTTTTTATTCATCCTTAGCCTTTTAATTAACACAAGCAGGGTATACTTTTTAAAATGATGAACTTTACATTCCTTTAATCGTAGTTCTTTAGTTCGTGAACTCTCCACGGAAGCGAACTATGTTCCTCTCAGTTTCAAGGACCTTGACTTCATATAAAATTTCAGGTTGAGCGAGTTGAGCCTTTATTCCATCCCAAATAAACACTGCTACATTCTCTGCAGTGCTGACAACATCCCTAGGGAAAAAATATGTGGGAAATGTCAGAGATCTTCTGTAAACTTGTACGATGGTTTAAATGTTTACACTGCTACTTACTTAAAGTATGGCACATCCTTATCTATATTCTTGTGGTCAATCGTGTCCATTATAGCCTTCTTCATGTAAATTTTCAGATCATTGATGTTCATTACCATTCCTGTGGCTCTGTCAATGGGTCCTCGGAGAGTCACCTCAACTGGGACACAGCAGGAGGAGGGAAAAGACTTTTACGCTTCAGATTTCACTAGAGGCAGACTCCTCACACTTCATCATCAGATAACTTACTAACGTAGTTGTGCCCTTGGCCATGAAAATTGTTGCCTGCCCCATACGTTTTCTTGTTCTGCTCATCACTAAGCAGAGGACTAGAATGTGAGGAAACATAACGGTTAAACTGGCCAGTTAAAATCTGCAAAAATGAAGTATTGATAAGGGCAATGTTTTGGTTTACCTGTGTAAGCGATGACAAGCACTGATAATTTCTTTTCTAGTCAAGTAACCAATAGGCAAGGAAGACATTTTCCATAGGCCTGTGTTGGAAGCTGTGCTGAGACAAACTGGAGTGGCTGGAGTCAGTGAGGCACCTTATATAACTTGTCCTTCACCACAGAAAAAAAAAGAATAGAAAAAAAAAGACATGAAGAAGTATCCCACAAGAGGGCAGACAACTTCCTTGGCTCTTTTTAAAATTTATTCTATTGTCTCTTGCTTGCTTGAGACACTTCAAATTATACAATTTGAACAGGCATTAGTTACTGTGTGAATGTTTGTTCATTTTTTGTCATTACCTACCCATATAATTGTTATCTCTTTGATTCTTAATTTGGTTCACTTTTTCTCCCACTGAATAATTTTTCTGTTTGTTTGAAGAGTCCTGCCAATGACATGAATTTTATTCATATCTGCTACTTTTGTGTACAGGAAACTATTTTGGTTTATGTAATTTTAATGACATAACAGTGCGTGCCAGTGATGGAACTGGTGAAGGGAAAAATTGAAATTGAGTATATTTTTGCCTCTCTGTAATTTATATTTATTCTTAGCCTTAATGAACACAAGCAGAGTATATTTTGTAAATGGTATATATTATATATCTTTTGTCATATTTCTCTAGTTTGTGTACTCTCCACGGAAGCGAATAATGTTCTTCTCAGTTTCAAAGATCTTGACTTCATACAAAATTTCTGGTTGAGGAAGTTGAGCCTTCAGTCCATCCCACACAAACACAGCAACGTGCTCTGTGGTGCTGACAACATCCCTAGAAAAAACGGGTACAGGAAATGTTAGAGGTCATCCGAGACTTGTATGGTGGTATAAATGTTTACACTGCTACTCACTTAAAGTATGGCACATCCTTATCAATATTCTTGTGGTCCATTGTGTCCATTATAGCTTTCTTCATGTAAATTTTCAGATCATTGATGTTCATTACCATTCCTGTAGCCCTGTCAATGGGGCCTCGGAGAGTCACCTCAACTAGAACGCAGCGGAAAGAGAGAGGAGAATTTTACACTTCAGATAATTTTGAGCTATACTCCTCAAATTTTATTGTAAGATTACTTACTAACGTAGTTGTGCCCATGGCCATGAAAATTGTTGCACTTCCCATAAGTTTCCTTGTTCTGCTCATCACTAAGCTGAGGACTAAAACATAGCAAGAGGAAAAATAATAATGTAAATGTAAATTAAATAAAGTATTGATAAGCGCATGGCATCTTTCGTCTTACCTGTGTAAGCGATGACAAGCACTGATAATTTCTTTTCTAGTCAAATAACCAATAGGCAAGGAAGACATTTTCGATTGAACTGTGTTGGAAGCTGTGCTGAGGCAAACTGGAGAGCCTGGAGTAGGTGAGGCACCTTATATAACTTGTCCTTCACCACAGAAAAAAAAAAGAAACATGAAGAAGAATTCCAATGAGGTATAGATCCTGTTACTGAGCAGGTTATATAAGAGGGCGGACAACTTCCTCACTGAAACTTACCACAAATCACAGAGAAAATGAATTTCGAGAGTTTTCCAAGCGACGCTCGATAATTCTACCACTTTCTTTTAATCTAAAACTGCACCAAACATTGTGAAAACCACCTAGCAGAAGACACGGAGCAGAAACAAGTGGTTTGGCTGCTGTCCCTGACTGCATGGTGTATCGCCAGGGAAGCGCCGGGGTGCGAGAGAGATAGCATTCGGCAGATGCGAGGGAAAGAGAGAGATGGAGACAACTAAAACGTCGATAAAGCAGAGGGCGCGCTAGTCGCTATCTGTTTGTAAACTTTCTCATACTTATAAACGAATGGCCAACCGAAGAATGTAACAGGTTGCCCTGCCGCCTTTCTTCGCTTTTCACCGGGCTTTTCTCGCTGCGATTTGTGAAAGAGGCCTCACAAACGTTTGACCGGACCGAGCTTGTCTGTGAGGCCATCCTAGAACTGCATCACCACATCAATCTCCACTGCTCCACAAGTTCGTCCCCGTGCCTGACCTACTACACGGTGGGTGGTGGGGGTCAACGTCCTTCGTGTGCCGTCAAGTACTGTCAGTTCTGGGCCTGTTTGTTGTCTGCATCTCGCAAGCCGGTCAACGCTTCGCGCTTCGCTTCGCCACTTCTCTGATTAGGCCGGCCCGTTTTTGGGTCACACCGCCGCAACGGCAGCGACGGCAGCAAGCGACGCGCCGGCAGGCACTCCAAGCGCCCCCGCCGAGAAGGTAGGTCTGCCTGGTCTGCCCTGCCCACTGCGTCGTCTGCACTGTGAGCCTATTTCCAAGACTCGCACTAAAAGCAAGTCCGTGTTGACTTAGATCCCCGCTTTCGTCTTGGTCGTACTGCTCATTGAAACCTTAGGCAGTTTTCACATCTGCTGGCCCGTTGAAACCATGCCATAATTTTGTTTCATGTTTGAGGAATGTAACGAGCAAAAAAACCCAATGTTCTAGCTTCCCTGTCCCGTGTTGCCTCTGCCCTTCCCCCCCAGTCACCATGAGGCTGGTTATTTTGGACTCCGCTGACTTTGTGGCGGATTGGTCTGCTAAGTATGTTCTCAAGAAGATAAAGCAATTCAAGCCTGGTCCCGATAAGTACTTTGTCTTGGGACTGCCTACTGGTACGTATATCAGGTTCCTCGATGCTCAGTAGATAGTTAAATAATTTTATGATGTTACAAGATGTAGTCACCTTGGTAGTTGGTAATGTGCACTATAAGCTTCCTTGCCTTGCTCAGGTGGTACTCCTCTTGGGATGTACAAGAAGCTTATAGAGTTCCATAAGGCGGGTCGATTATCCTTTAAGTATGTGAAAACTTTCAACATGGACGAGTATGTTGGTAAGTGCCCCAGTCCCTTATGTGAGTTGCTGTTTGAAAACCTTTTCCATTTAATTGGAGCTGTTGTGAATTTCCTAGTTGACATTCAGTACTTCAGTTTTGTGCACAGAAAATTGGACTGCTTGATTCAGAAGTGAAACCTTGACATTTCCTTTTTGTTTCAAGGCTTGCCGAGAGACCACCATGAAAGTTATCACTACTACATGTGGAACAACTTCTTCAAGCACATCGACATCGATCCAGCAAATGCCCATTTGTTGGATGGCAATGCTGCTGACTTGGAAGCAGAGTGTAACAAGTTTGAAAGATTAATCAAAGAAGCTGGTGGAATTCACTTATTTATTGGAGGTGTGTAGGTTGTGTCATTTGGAATTCTACTTATCAGTGTATTTTTTGTCAGTAATTTTTTTTTTTTACTATTTCAGGCATTGGACCTGATGGTCACATTGCATTCAATGAACCTGGATCATCCCTGGCTTCTCGCACACGTGTCAAAACTCTTGCCCAAGACACACTGGAGGCCAATGCCCGTTTCTTTGACAACGATATAAACAAAGTGCCTAAACAGGCACTTACAGTGGGGGTTGCCACTGTTATGGATGCTGATGAGGTTTGCTATTAGTGCAAAATTTATTAATTTTATTTTTAGTTAAAAAAATGAATAATAAATTTTTTGTTATGAATGTTGCAGGTCATGATTTTGATCACAGGAGCACACAAGTCATTTGCTCTATACAAGGCAGTTGAAGAGGGAGTTAACCATATGTGGACTGTGTCTGCATTCCAACAACATCCCCACACCTTGATAATTTGCGATGAAGATGCCACTTTGGAACTGAGGGTTAAAACAGTGAAATATTTCAAGGTAATGCCGTAATGCCTAGCACTCTTAACTTAATATTTTTATTAATATGAAATTGCTTTTTAATAACTGTGGTCGTTTTCAGTTTTGCTTTTGCTTCACATGGGTTGCAGGTTCTGTTGTGTCATTCTCAATTGGTTGGTTTTTGTTTCAGAATTTGTCTCTGGTCCACAGTCGACTCATCGACGAAGATGCCCCTTGATGCACCCACCACAGACCAAGAGACTTTCTTCTTTTCTGTCGATCTTTGTCAATCTTACCTGTCATTTGCAATTTTTTAAAAAAGGGAAAAAAACTGGATTGGTGAGGGTATTTTAAATTTTAAGAATGTTATGTTCTTATCATTTTCTGAGAACATTTGTGATACAATTTTCATGCAGTTGCACTGATTGACTGTGCTCATATTTTATACATACCAATTTTGTTATTTGCCAAGCAAGAACTGAATTTTATGTCACTTATTCAGAAGTAACTGGTGCCATTGTTTTTCATTGTTACCTTCTGATAAAACAACTGAACCTTTCACATTTATACTACTGTTTATCTTGTGATAAAAAAAATAGCATTTAAAAAATAGAACCATATTTTTGCCCAATAAATTTGTGTTTTGCCTATTGTTTTGAACACCTTTACAAGTCCTACATTTTACATCAGTATCCCATAATCTAAAAAACACTTTAAGCAAAGCCCCTCAAAAAGTGCAACTAAACTTGGGGTTGCCCTGCAAGGGTGGGAAGGCGTTTTTGTGTTTTTAGTTTGAATAGCTCTGAAGGAATTGACTTCTGGGAAGCTTTCGGAAAAATTCGAGGGCAATGAAGAGTCAGGTGGTTAACAAGGTCGCGAAATTAGTGTGGTGATAATTTATTGAAGACCCCTCCCCGCCAGCTTCCTCTGGTGCTGCGTGGTCCGGGTGGTCCGGTTGGGGTGGCGGTGGGACCGCGCGCCGCCGCTCCGCGCTCTTCCATCATAATGGATTTTAATTCCTTTTCTTAACAGCCTCTCCTTTTAATAAAGCTTATATCGCTGCGCACATTTTTAATTTAATCTGGCAGCCGTCTCTTGTTTTCTTGCTGCCTCCCCTGTGGCTACTCGGCTCCAGACCCGCCACCGCCACCGCCCTCAGCGCGCTCAGCGGTCATGTTCTAAATCCCGCCCCGCCGCGCCCCGCCCTGGCCACGGTCCGCGCGGGGAGATTACTGGCCGGGTCAAGAGGCCGTTCATTCATTAAAAAAAAAAGAGATGAGCATTCCGGCCATTCAGATGGATAGAGATAATTTTTGCCGGCGAGGGGAGGAATTTGGGGCCTCCAAAACTCGCCTTGGACTTTTATCAGCGCGGAAAATAAACTCTTGGCCGCTTTTCCGGGCAGCCAGCGTGCCAGGGCGTTGTGCAGCATGCTCCAGTCGTGTTTCCCATTTCACGGAGCTGGTTGTCGGTTCATGACGAGACACGGTGCACCTGGCTGTCGCCAACTGCTGAAAGTTTCAGAGGTACTAAGAATCGCAGCAGGGCCTGCTCTGCTGGCGCCTCGGCCCGGCCCCCGGCCCCACAGTCTGTGAACATCGACAGTTAGCGACCCCTCGTGTGGAGGAGAGACAGAGGGGCTGAAGAGCAGGGCAGCCAAGGTAGTTGGCCTGGCATAGGCTGGGCGGGGGCGGTGGCGGCGTGGGGGCGTTGTGGGGGCGGTGTGGGGAGCATGTGGAACAGGGGTGTCGAGCAGCAGCTCACCATTTCCCAATTCACCCTCCATTGTCACCAAACGTAACACAATTTGTACTTCCCGACCCCTCGCCGCCTCGCCCTCGCCGCTACAACCGCGCAGCTAGCGCGCTGCAGACTGATTCCGAGGGTCGTTTTCGTCGCTCTGTCTCTCTCGCACTCATGGGGCGTTCCGTGTTGACGCGAGAGAGACAGAGCGACGAAAACGACCCTCGGAATCGGTCTGCAGCGTCGTCTCACCCTATCCTCCCGGCCTTTGCCGGGCCAGGCGGGGCCGGGCGGGGCCAGGCCTACCACCCTTTTCGCCCTAACTTTTCGCGCCAACTTTTCCTTGGCACTTGCTTAATTACGGCCGATCGGCCCACGCATTACACATTACACTCTATTCCTGGCAGGGGGGACGCGCTCAGGACTGCATACCGACTCACAGTGGGCCAGAAGACCGGTGGAGGCGGTCAAAACCCTAGACGCGTTTTGAGCTCCAGAGTCGCTAAACAGGACTCGAACCGATCGTGTGACCCCACCAATGGATTGCTCTGGTTCGAGTCCTGTTTAGCGACTTTGGAGCACAAAATGCGTGTAGAGAGTTTTGTCCGCCTCCACCGGTCTTCTCTCTGGCCCACTGTGCGGCCAGAACGGAACCCCTTGACACGCAGGCAACCCACCGCATGGCTGCGACGCGGGCTGCCTGCCGTCTGCACGTTGAGTTGCCTACCTTCCCGGCGCCCGCCTCGACGCGGGCTCGCCACTTTTCCTGTTATTCAATCTCGCGCCTGTGGACGTCCTGTCTCAAATCACTCCGCCCCGCGCCCCTGTGCGTGCATGTGTGTGTGTGTGTGTGAGGGGGAGGGGGAGGGTCAACTCGATCGCCACGCAGGTCACATCAGAGGTTTATATTCGCCGGCCGTTCTCCTCGTGCCCGGCTTGCCCGGCCTGACGGCCTCCGTGTCGTCCCGTCCGCGCGTTACGACACTTTTTTCGTTTTTCCCTTCTTCTCTTTCTTTTCGTTTTTCTGCGCGTCCCTTCCCTTTTTTCCCTCCTTTGATTGGGTGGCGGGCCGGCCGGTCGCTGCAGTCATAGCTGGACCGGCTGGACACACACGGGGACGCGCACCGGGGACTGCGGGGACACTGGAAGGAGGGCGGTGGTACAAAGGGCCCGGCCACCTGCAGACTGATTCCAAGAGTCGTTTTCGTCGCTGTCTCTCTCGCGCCCATGGGGCGTCCCGGATCGGTGCGAGAGAGACAGAGCGACGAAAACGACTCTCGGAATCAGTCTGCTGGGCGCTACCGGCCGACCCTCCACCGCACAGTGGGCCAGAAGGCCGGTGGAGGCGGCCAAAACTCTACACGCGTTTCGAGCTCCAGAGTCGCTAAGCAGGACTCGAACCGAACGTGTGACCCCACCAATGGATTCCTCGTTCGGAGAGCAATCCATTGGTGGGGTCACACGTTCGGTTCGAGTCCCATTTAGCGACTCTGGAGCTCAAAACGCGTCTGGAGTTTTGGCCGCCCCCACCGGTCTTCTGGCCCACTGTGCACCGCGCTGCCCTCGCCAGGGCACGGCCGAGGCGGCCGAGGCCCTCACCGATTAGGACCGATGCATTCCGGGGCGGGCCGCGTCACCGCGTCCCACAGGACGTCCTGCAGGACCCCGTCGTGTCCTCTCATCGTTATTAGCCCCATAAAAATCGCCGTTCGGCCGGCGGGTAAAGAACGGCCGACGCGGTCCTCGGAGTCCTTGGCCTTGTTTATGGTCTGCGACGGTCTGCGACGAGGGGCGGCCTCGGCTAGTCGCCCTGTCTCTCTCGCACCCCCGGGTCCGCCCCGTGAGTGCGACGGAGACGGGCTGCTGAGTGGGGCCGTGTCATTCCGAGGAAGTGGTGCTCCGCGACGCGACGCTTGGGGCTTGGTTAGGTCACTTGTCCGGCGGCCACCCCGCGTCCGGACCGCCGCGCGCCGCCCTCCCCCGGGAGTCTCTCTCGCACCCCTACGGCGTGCCCCGTGGCACAGTGGGCTAGAAGACCGGTGGAGGCGGCCAAAGTCCCGGACGCGTTTTGAGCTCCAGAGTCGCTAAATGGGACTCGAACCGAACGTGTGACCCCACCAATGGATTCCTCGTTCGGAGAGCAATCCATTGGTGGGGTCACACGTTCGGTGCGAGTCCTGTTTAGCGACTCTGGAGCTCAAAACGCGTCTAGAGTTTTGTCCGCCTCCACCGGCCTTCTGGCCCACTGTGTGCGACTGCGACAGACAGACGCCCCGGCGGCCATCGGCAAGGCCGCCAAGGCCATCGGCCATCACGATGTGTGCAGCCCAATTGAATAGTCGCGGGTCCGGCCTTGCCGGCTGCATGGGGACCAGGAAGGCCAATTTATAGGAGGGGTGGCCGAGGCCCTCACCGAGAGACTCACCCGGAAGGAGGCGCTCTGTCTCTCTCGCACTCACGGGGCGTCGCGCTGGGGTGCGAGAGAGACAGAGCGACCAAACGACCCTTCGGAATCAGTCCGCCGGCCGTCCATGGCGCTCAAGGGGCGGAAGTAACGACTTATTTGGGGACCCCGATCACCTCGGGTCGGGTCATTCGCGATCAGTGTTTTTTTTCTTTTTTTTTTCGCGGCCTCGCGGAAGCTTCCGCTCGGACGAAACCGAAAGCCTTGAGGTTGGCTATGCAGTGTGTCGGCTCGTCACCTCGGATGCATGGCGGCTGGTGTCTGGCGGGGAGGGGCGGGGCGGGGCACACCGCGTCGGACTGTCTACACTGCACCCTCCGCCCTCGGCCCCGCCCGCCCAGGCACTGGAAGCTTTATTAATATTTCAGCACCATTACATGTCTGTCGTTTGTTGGGAGCTGTGCCCAACACATGCACGGCCCGGCGGGGCGTGCGGGGCGTGCCGGGGCGTGCCGGGGCGTGCTGTTTAAACATGCATCTGGGCTTCTCGGCCCGCCTTGGCCACCCCGGCGGCGCGGCGGCGCCCTCACCGAGGCCTCTAGTTAGACGGTCGGCGGTAAGGCGGCGGGCCGCCCCGCTCCGCCCCGCCCCGCCACGCCCCGCCACGCCCTCATTACGAGGCGCGGCGCACTTGGCGCACAAAGAAGGTCCGCTTATTTGTTTTGGAGGACCAGAGAGCACCATCGATAGATACAGAACCACCGCGGGAACGCCGCGCCACCGCGCCCCGGCCCACCCCCTGCTCGCCCCCACCCCCACCCCCATCGCCCATTATCAGCAACGCCACCAGCTTGCTGCCGATGACCCGCCCCGCCGCGCCCGGCCCCGCTCTTTTCGCGGCAAATTGCGTGCAAAAGTTGGCTTTGTTTCCCTTGCCGCGCTGCCGTGCTGCCGCGCTGCCGCCAGGGCACTGCTGCTGTTGCCGGCGGCTTGCCGCTCTCTCTGGATGCGGTTTTCGAATGCCGCGGCCGAACTCGTCGTCCCCCGGCGGCCCACAGTGGGCCGGAAGACCGGCGGCCAAAACTCAGGACGCGTTTTGAGCTCCAGAGTCGCTAAATGGGACTCGAACCGAACGTGTGACCCCACCAATGGATTGCTCTCCGAACGAGGAATCCATTGGTTTGGTCACACGTTCGGTTCGAGTCCTGTTTGGCGACTCTGGAGCTCAAAACGCGTCTGGAGTTTTTGCCGCCTGCGCCGGTCTTCTGGCCCACTGTGCGGTGGCGGCCCCCGCCCGCTCGGCCCGAGGGCAGGCCAAGGCGAAGCCAGTGCCGTTCATCAGGCCTGTTTAATATACCCCGCGTCCCTCGGCCCTGCAGTGTCTGCAGTCCCTGCAGTCCTTGCAAGGTGCTTGGCGTGCCGCGCGCCGCCAGAGGAGAGGCGAGGCCGAATTCCTGCGCCGAGCCACCCTGCCACAGTGTGCCAGAA